TGCGTCGTTAAGACGTAACCACCGCCGTTTCGCTAACTCGTGGTCAACGAAATCCTGTCGAGAACGAGGTTAGGCTTAACCAGTCGTAATCGTTACACTAGGGCGAAATCACGTTGGTAAGGAAGCATGTTCTGTCCGCTCTTCTCAATCAACTGTTGTCCGTCGACAGGCGTTGCGCGGAGCACTTGAGAGCGGAGCGAGGCAAGTGCGCCATCTGTAACAGCAACATCTTGGGAGCGTACAAGTTGTACGGCGACTGATGCTCTGGCCTGAGACAGTCCCATCGCCGACCATCTTCGGCAAGTTACAACGAGCATTGACTGGTTGGCACGTGGATTTTTTATGCTACCATGCCAACGTTAGCTTCTACAATGAGAAACTCATTTCAGCAACTAGACACACACTCAGGCAAAAGGTATGGTCGAGCACTATTTGCAACACTGCTCTGAGTGATCTAGTTGACTTCAGACGTGGTTGGATGCGACATGATTGACAGTTTCCAGCCTGAGAGATCTGGAAAGACACGGCTTGCGATCCTCACCGTTGTTTCCAGGACTTGATGCATCAATGTCACGTTCAGCTGACGAGCACGCTGCCCGGTCTAGGGAAACACATGTTAGGTGTCTTTCATCCACCGCGTATGTAACGTACGCTCCACATGCTGAAGCAGAAGTTTTATCCCGAGAGTCTGACATTCAGAAACCATGTGTGGCCATCTTTTTGGATATGCTGCGCAACATGCTAGAAGTCGGATCGCGTTGCTTTCACACTGGCCGCGTCTTGGCGTGTTCTACACGTTCAGATCGTGTTCCACGCATTGATCCGACCAGTTCGTTCAGCTGCGTGACGTTAAGATGATCTCGACCGACATCATGCTCGGCGGTAAATAGCATCATGCCAGGATGCATAATAAGCTTCCATAGCATATATATACCAGCATGACGGATCGATGTGCCATGGCTATAGTTTCGACTCAGTTGCAACGCCTGTAGCTAGTTCCTATGCCGGCTCCCATGGGAAGTACGTGCACTAGTGACACGAATACATTCAATCAGGCTAGGCAACAATTCATCCAGGATTTTGGGCCCCATGCATGGGAAATCGGAGCGCCGCAATCACTCTTAAGTCTCTTGAGGGATTATTCACGCTCCAATCGAGCAGATCGAGTTGGACGGCCAATGCACGCGCAGAGTTTGCTGAGTCTGTTGCAGAGGAATGAGTACATAAAAAGCTCCGATGTCCCAGATTCATAAATCTGCTAGGCCTAGTCCATCCCTACAATCTGGCATGCCTCAGCTCAACCAAGGAACATACCTGCACTTAACCATAAATTTCCCCCAAACCAGGAGTTTTATCCTACTGGAGTTCTGTGAGAATTTGCTCGCATCGGCTTCCGAGAAGGGGCCGCCCACTTTCGCATCAAGGTACATCTCTAACTGGTTCAGCAATTCGTTTTCTGCCAACAGCAAAACTACATCCTTGGTGAGAGCTTGGCACTGCCAAAAATATAAGTTGGTCAGACTCTTACTAGTGGAGATGGCCCTAAACACGCCCGTGTCTGTCAAGCCTACACCAGCTGTCCTGATTTCTAGGTTTGCGAGCTTTGCATTCCTGTGCACCAGATGCAGAAGGAGTTCGTCGGTAAGTGCCGCTTCCTGCGGATTGTCCGTGATGACCAAGGACTCCAAGCGCTCAAGATGAGCAAGACTGGTCAACGGTACTGAATACTTCCCCGTCTCTACGATGCTCAAGTTGGAACCAACGGGCACCCCGTGAAGAGTTCCACGGAGCATCGCTCATCGCAATCGACCGCACAAGGAAAGTGCAACTCTCTCAGACTTGAGCAATTTGTCGCCACCTCTTTTATTGTCGCCTGGCTGCTGCCACTCAGGAGGACTAAGGATGTCAACGTGCGCATCTGCCGTAAGAAGCTGCAGGTATTCCTACCATATGAAGGCTCGAGGCACAAGTCTTCCAAACCGTTCGCGGCCCCTAGACATGCATCTACCGACTCCATGGCAATGCTGCGGCAAGAAATGGTCAGCACCTTGAGTTGGGCAGCCAAACCAGACCGCAACGCAAGCAGACCCCGAGCGGTCAATCCCGTAGAGCCGCCCCAGGATAAGTGAGTCAAGCTCTTGGCCTTGCTCGAAAGAACGGCCAGAGCTCCATCTGTAGCCCATTCACACCTCGGCCAAACACACCGGCCCCCGCCCCTTTGAGTGTCCTGCCCAAGCGTCTCCAATTGCACGCACTTCTCCGCTATGGCCTCTAGCCCTTTCAGAAAGGAGTTCCCCGAACGCCCCGGCCCCAGGAACAGCTCCTTCAGATTTGAACACTGGTCCGCCAATTGGGTTAGAATCCCGTCCTCCACAAACTCGCCCACACGGATCTGCGAGTCGCGAAAGTTGCCGCGCTTCAACCCGGAGACATCCAGCGACACCAACGCTGGGCCGAGGGCGTCGAAGATCAATTGATACCCGTTCTTCGACGTGCCGGAGAGTGTGAGCTTTCGCAGCCGCCCCGATGCGACCCCGCCCGCAGAATTGGGCCAACTCAGATCCGGAGACTCGTCTCGAACACATGTGAGGTCCAGCCCGTCCCTACCGCTTATCACCAGTTCCTCTAGGGTTCCCCTAGGCCCCGTTGGGGCGCCCTCGGGCCGCCAGCTGTCTCGAACCAGGTTGGGAACCCCCGGCATCAGGTCATGGAACAAAGGGTGCAGATTGTAGACGTTTTTGCAGTCCAAATGTAGCAGCCTGAACGAGTGTCGTGAATTGTGCACCTCCCCAAACTGGCCACCGAACCACCGCGTGCACGTGGTCGCATCCGCCTTCAATGCCGTCAGATTGGGGTACAACGGGAGCGCCTTCACGGGGTTGGCGCCGAAGAAATTCAAGCTTATGAGCTCCAAGACTGTCCGCCTCCGCTCGATGTCTCGGAACTTTCTGCAGACGCGGGAGAAGGACAGGCGGTCAGACTCCCTCCCAAACACGTCGATGCAGGAGAAGATCTGCTCGAGGATCAGGTCAGGAAGGTCGGTGAGGGCTTGTCTGGAAGCCATTTCTTTTGCACGCGGGCTGAGAAACCTTTCACAAGTTCAATGCGGGTCCAGCTTCTGAATTTGATGCCACTGTCAATGCCCTGTCAATGGGGAGAGGTCAGGTGGACCATGCATTTTATTTTTACTGATTAAATATAATCGTAATTAATAATAAAATTTGATTTTGTGAAAGCACGGTGCACAATCCTAAGGCTACGGAGCGTGACCATTGACGGTTCAGTTCGCCTTTGTACCCGGCCAACCAGAGTAGGTATACCGTACGGTAGGTGATATCCGTTCAAATACCCGATTGATAGCGCTGACGCCGACGCCGACGGTTGCATTGACGGCTGAGACCGGAGCGCAACGCTCCGGATCCTTCATTCACAGGCCATTACCAGGTGATCCCTCTGGATCTGTCGAAGCACTGTAGGCAAGCACATGCGAAATGCATTCTGTCGGCGCCAAGTCCTGCTCAAAGCGGCTGTCTCAGGCGCTTGGAGAGAACTACAGAACACGGCCCATGTCTTTTCCTGCTTAATCGGAAGAATCATCAGTTTTTGCACAGGGTGACGCAATGTGAGAGGTTTGATCTCCGTTGAACAGTGTCGCTCAAGCGTTGGCTGATGATTGGGAGCTGCATGATCTTGCTGCTTAAGTGTGACAAGATGGAGGGGCAAATAGCAATGGATATCAGCGCCTGTGCTTTGAAAGCTTACGGCAGTTTGAAAAAGTCTGGCAAGCCCTCGGGACAGGAGTTTACATGCTTGGCCGCCATAGTTGCAACTTCATCGGACTGCAAATCAGGTAAGACAGAGTTGTAGATGGCTTTGCCCTTTATATCAGAAATCTCTAGCAAAAGATAGTTTCCAGTTTTCGAGTAAACCAAATGACCATATCCTATTCTGTCTTTTAAGAGAACAGCTTTTGGGCAAAGTTCGATCCGCTTATGTTGATACACAATTTGTTAGCAATTCTTCCTGAAACTGTTTTGTGTAGCGCTCCGGCACCTCATGATGCAGGGATGATTGTGACAAAGTGTACTATCTTTAACAGCAAGCTTCCTCAAAGGGGAAGCAGGTGTGCAGGAGTCTTGGGTTGCCTCGCCCAAGTTGTGCAGGAACTGTTGCAATAAAACTAGGGTTAATGACGAAGTTTATCATTAGTGCTGGAGAACTGTGGCATGCAGCTGAACTAGCTGGCACGGAAACGTTCTGTTTGCTGTGTGCCTCATACTTTCCCGCATTCAGTTGCTTGACGCCTTCTAGCGGCTGGTCCTCATTTACAGACAGTCAGGAATACAGGAACACCTTAGGACACCATAAGTTTTGACTTGAAGCCTATCACTGGTTGGATATTGGCCCATATATTGGCCCATAAGAGAATTGTGCACCATTCTTGCCCACATCTAATAGTGACTGTGGAACCCAGTCGCTGACTGACTGAGCATTGCACCGCCTTTCCTTTCTTCTTTCGTTCGCTTTCTGCCAACTTTTTTTCCAGAGTGACAGTTTGCGCTGGAAACAGGCTGGTGATCCTTCTTCCTGTACTCAATCCAAAGAGCAGCAGACTCAGGGCGGATACGTTTGCTGACAGCTCTCGGTCTTGTCACTGTCTTGAAAAGCATGTTCTCAGAAGCGTGCAATGCTGGTTTGCTGACGCAGCTATCACATGATGACTCGATGCAGGCGATACAATTTTTTAGATTGCTGACTTGGATCTTATCGACTGCGCAGAGTCCTGGGTGGTCTCCATTGGGACAGGCACAAAGTGCCTGGGCAGGAGCAGGCTCAGCCCTGCGGGGGACGTCGTCAACGATTCTCATGCGGAAGTGATTGCCAAGAGGGGCCTGCAGAGGTAATAGAGCTGATGAAAACAAACAAGAGCAGTCTCGCAAGTCCAATATGTTTCAAGCATGCGATGACTGAAATCCGAGGCGTCGCCAAAATACAGAGTTGCTCATTTTGTTTCTGTGCTATGCTTTCCCTTCTCTACCGGCCTTCTGGTTTCCACTCGTCACAAGTGGTGAACAAAAAGACTTCGCAAAAAAAAATGTGATTCAGGACGCACTTGCAAAAGACTGTGTCAATTTGAAATAGACACGAGAAAACAAATAACTGGGTTCTTTGGCAAGGCAAGCTTTGCGGATCAAGCGTGTCGCATGCAACAATACATTTGACGTGAAATGATGACTCCCGAACGGTCCCCAATAAATGAAAAGCGCCCAGACATCGCTCTCAGTGGAAAGCAGATGAGATACAAGGAATCGTGCTTGACTGCGTGTTTGCATCGAAACACCAAGCAGTGCCTTTGCTGCCTCTGTTACAGGCTGCTGTACCGCGACCTTGAAGTGCTCCTCTCGGAAGCAACAGACGACACGGATGATGTGAAGGTTGACAAGCGGAGAGCTGGGCAAGGGCCGCTCTTACTGTGCATGAAAGTTGCAGACGAAGGCACGGAGGAAGAGAGGAAGGCATTCCGGCTGAAGCCTGGGCTTAAGCTGCATCTGTACGTCAGCCAAGCGCCCTGTGAGTAACGGCTACAATGGAAAGACTGTATTTTGTATCGCAGGGACGACTTTCGTGAGGTCAAACTGTGGGAATGCTGGTTGAAGTGCTCTCAGGACAATTCCATGTTGCGCCGCATACGCTCGTGCAGTCTGGAGACACACGGTGCCTCGATCTTTGAACATACGTAGGAACTGTCGTAGGCTTCTCAAATGGGTCCTTATTCTGCCAGACTTCTGCCACACGAACTGACCTTTCGAAAGGTAGCAAAGAGAGATGTTCGTCCAGCCTCCAATTCCCAGCTTTGATGAGCGTTCCCCTTCCACTCCTGCGACAAGCTTGACATCAAATGACCTTCACATTCAAATCTGACTGAAACTGCTTTCCTCTTCCCAGGCGGTGACGCCTGCATCTCTTCGTCCTCGCAATCTGCTGACTCAGAAACCGTTGGCGAAGCCCTCGTTGCCCTGTCTACCAACCAATTCTCTGCTCACACCGAATCCCTACCGAGCACCGAGCCGGATACAGGCAAGGCGGGCGCTTCGGGGGCTGGAAATTCGGTGCGCTTCACCGGGGCTAAGTTGGCGTACCTACCGGTCTCTGCCAAGCGAACTGACTTGCGGTTGGCAGAAGTTGAAAGTAGATGTGAGCGGAGGTTTGCTGAAAATGGAGTGCAAGAGCGTGAGAACCAGGAGGGGTGTGGCAGGGCAGACTGTCAAGGCAATGGTGCGACCGAATGGGGGAGTGGGTCAGAGAAAAGAGCTCCGGACAGCGGGGCTTGTACAAAGGTCGCCGGAAGAGAAGGAATGACAGACTGGCACAATGGACGTGTTTACAGCAGGAACTTGGCGGAAGATGGTGACGTGGAACCGGATGGAAATATGGGGCGATTCGGGGGGGATTCTGAGCAAATGGTGGACGAAATGAGTTGCGTAAAGGCAGTAACCAGTGAGGACGAGCTCCCCGAAAAGGAAAGAAGCAGGCAAGCAGGTTGCGCTAGTGAAGGTGTTGCCTCCGTCGAAAAGGAAGCAGGGACCTGTGGGGGAACCTCACAGCAAATGCGCTCGACTAAAGCCAGCACGGGATTTGGGGGCGTCCCAAGCGCCTTGATGGAAGCAGAAACCCGGGGGAGTATCTCCCAAACAGAGCACTCGGAAGACACTCGTGAGATTGACGGCCAAGCGACAACCTCGGGGGGCAGATTGCGACCAGGAGTGGAAGAAGATGGCCGGCAGGGGCTGGGAAGTTCCGGTGACAACACGGAAGCGGAGGCCTCGGGGGGCCAATCGCAACTAGCGGCGAATGGAGAGGAAGATCGGGTGGGGCAGGAAACGGGATGGGTGACTTTGCAAGCGGCGGGGCTGGCGCGGCGGAAGCCGGGGCGGGGGGACCCAACGTTGTCCATGAGCTGCAGCGATAAGCTGGCCAAATGGAACGTGCTGGGACTGCAAGGTGAGAAGAAAATTGTAAGGGGTTGGGACTGCAATGGGCGTCCTTCCCTCCATTCCTCGAACGGGATCCAAGATCACCTAAAAAGGGGATGCAGAGAGTTGGACGACAGGTTTGATGCGGTGAAGAGGATACGGGAATGTGCGCAATTCTTGGCCTTTCGTAATGAATTTGCCGGACTGGGCTGTTGGTGACTGCTGTTTCTATAGAACGAGGCGCCTCGAAACAAGGAACTAGAGACCGTGGAGACCGCACCAGACAGCGTCAAGCGGGATGGTTTGTGAGGGCCTCAGTTGATTACAAACTTTTCGAGTTTGGGGCAGGCAGTCGAGCTGCAATAGTGAGCGAAGCGAAGCAGTCCTTACAGGGCTTTTGCGTCAGACCTTCGAAAAGCTGGTGGGTCAGAGAACGGAAGAAAAATGCGACAGAACAGGTGTTCACTAGACTAGAAAAGGAAAGAAAAGGAGAGACGCGGAAAGTGCCCAGAGACAAGAGAAGGTAAAGCTCTGGAACCAAATCACAATTCCCATCTGAAAGAGCACACGTTGGAAAAAGGCTTTCAGATCGCGCACAGAGGACGATGAATTTAAGAGCGTGCGCACTCCGGGAAACTCTCAGCACGTGCGGACTTTTGAAGAAATCACTGAACGCGCGCAAAAGAAGAACTCTCAGAACGCGCACATTTTGATCTTGCAGGGGCCCTCCTGACGCACTTTTTGGCGGAGCCCATTTACTTGTCGAGCGTTATTGTAGCCCGGGACTCGCAGCTCGGCTTCGACGGAGAGGCGCTTTGGCGGGCGGTTCACGGCCGGGTGGCGGCGTGCGCGGCCGCGGCCGACTTGGCGCCTCCATTCGCGTTCCAAAGAGTGAGGCTTTTGAGCGGTCAGCGTGTCTCGTCTTAGCTGTCAGGCCGAGTTTCCTGCTTGGAATCAACCCGTGTAACATCACAAGAGTGTTCGGGTCCGCCTTAGAATGCCTATGGGAAGCATAATCGACTCCGGTCGTTACCCAGGAAACCCTGTCCGTAATGAACCCGGTCTCCGTAATGATCATAGGCGGCGCTTTCCTCCTTCAAGTGGAATTACCGCATTGATGTCTTTTCATCCGCTCCTACTGCGGACCCGCTTCTTAATGTAGGTCTACAAAGCCTGAATCAAAGCAGCTTTTCTTGCGATTCTGCATGAGGCCGATCACATTTGCCTTTTCAAAAGCGCACCGCCGTTTCTGAATCCGGATTTTCCTAGCCCCTCCGGAGGCCGCGAAGCGAAAGCCGGGTCCTGGTCTTCCGAAGCATTAGGTCTCCTTCGACGAGTACGCCTCCAAGAACAGCTCACGCAATCTGCACCAACGGTTTTGCAGCCTGTCATCATGGAAGCTCCGGAGGCTCCTGTTGAGCTCTCGCGGTGTCCGGAAAATGAGGATCGACCGGCTTGCGGGTGAGAGTGTGAATGCGCCCCACTGACGTTGATGACGTCAGCGGAGAACGGAGTAGCTTGTCTCGCCTGAAGGATACAGCGGGGGTTCTTCGGAACAATCATCCTTCTTTCGCTCCGAAAGTCTCGCGGGCTACCTAGTCTCCGGCTAGTCTACCAAAACCAGAACCGAAGTGTGCGCCACTTTGTTCTGATTCTCACATTCTCAGCTGGCTGCATAGAATCCTGTATGCGCTAGTATGCGAACAAATCTAACCAACGAGGCAAAGTAGATTTGAAAGGTTGAGAGTTGTTGCCTGCAGGAACTCAATCAGCTGGACGGCTGACGGAGGCCATGAGGTCATCCTGGGCGTCATCGGCCGCAAGCAGGGGACCTCGGCCAAGGGGGCCCTGTCGCCCAAAACGCGCTCGGCGCTCTGCAGGTAAAAGCGCCGACTTTTATGTGAACAGGGCCTCAGATTTTGAGGGTTGGGAACGGAACGGTTATACCGGATGCTGTCCTGGAGTCCGCTGTTGGACCAAGCCAATGCGAGCTGCTGCCGCTCTCTTCCTTTCTTTGTGACCCGCTGGGAGAGTTGCTCAGCGATTACTGAAAGCTTTGCGACAGAAGTTGCTGATTGATGTGTCAACCGAGGCGGTGCCCCTTTGCTCTTCGCAGACAACACCGAAGCTCTTGAAGCTGTGCCAAAGTATGGGGCCTGATAGGTGCTCAAGAAAAGAACGGTCATCTGTATGGATCTAGCGTTGCCTTTACCTGTCTGATGTACGCCCCTGTGGATGCGTGTTGATGAGGCGCCAAAAGTCATCGGAGTCTTTGAACCTTTCACGAGGAGTCCTTGTTGAAGTTTTGACCCATGATTTTGACATTGAGAGAAGCTGACTGCTTCGACGTCGTGACTCTGCTCTGATGTTGTTCGCTCAATAAGCGGCCTTATAATGTGTGCACATAGCCCCTTCGCAGCTGGTCATTCGCAACCTTTGTTCGGTCCAATCACATTTGGCGGTGGCACAACGGTTTTCACCATTCACTTCTCTCGAGAACCGTGCTCAGCTTAAGTGGCTTCTACTTTTGCTTCTTGCAGCGCCTCCATGTTGGAGCGTTTCAAGCCCCTGTTGGCGTACTTTCCCCATCGCGACCATTTGCGAGCCGCCACGTGTCGCGAAGCAAAGGCCGCAGCTAGTGCCTACCAGGCCACGTGGCAAACGGTCCGTGCGCCGCCGAGCCCCCTCGCAGATTGGCTACTTAAACCGAGAGATATGAGCGGCTTCTCGTAAATGCAAGGAGGAGCTTCGCGTAAATGTAGTCCGGATCGAGCCTGTGTCGAGGATGGCACTGACTGAAATTGCAAGAGATACAAACGACAAACGTTTCTTGGACGCGCGTTAGTATTGGATAGAGGGTGAGGACTGCTTTCTGAAGACTGGAACTTCGATGATGGATGACTGACGAAAGGACGAAGTAGCAAGTGTCTCTCTCAAACTTGCGAGGAACAAGCCTGGTTTCCTGTACATACTGAGCCGCAAAACCTGCTTACTGCCTGCTTGAGAGCTAGGCAGACTCTGCCATGGCATTGGGTCAGGTGCACAAGAGCACGCTAATTCTAAGCTGATTCATGCCCATGTGAAAGCACGAATATATATCTGGACCGGCGGCTTGTAGCTGATATATACATGTATAACGATTGGGAATCTTGCATGAAAGAGCACAACACATCAAGGGCTCGTGCCCATCGTTCTAGCTTTGAGAGCAAATGCGAAGTGTCTGACCAAGCTGAGCAAACGTACATATCTGGCCCGCCGTCAAGGGTCGTTGGCCAGCCTGATCAAAAGGTTCGTCGGCTGTTTACAGAGACGGATGTTCCGCATATCCGTTGTAGCACACTCAATTCAATAACTTGGCCGGTGCGGTGTGGCTACAATGTAGCCTCACTCCTCAAACACAATCGATCACCGCAAATGCACCGGCTCTATGTACATCTATGCAACACGTCGGGAAAACTCCGTTTTCTACCATTTTCCCGGGGAGGTGGACTGCCAAGCAAGTGACTGCTCCCAAGCGACTATGCAAGAAACTCGGCGGCCCCATCGGCAATGGATTCTCTAAGAGACGGGGAGACGGCGTTGGGTCCCAGAAAGACGTCGAATAAGGCCTTGATCAGTGGGCCCGAGGCAATGGACGCCTCCGTGTTCTCCGGCGGTTGCAGAGTTGACGCATCGTCGACAACTCCAATCTGTGAGGAGTTTAAGCACGTCGGTTCAGAGCAGAAAATAACGTGAGCTGAACAGAACAAAGTGAGGCCATGCTCTGTTGCGCTTGCAGATTGAAGGATGCTGACTTTTGAAAAAGCTTGTGCCCATCAAGGGCATAGGGCTGGACGATCGAACGGTTAGACGGCAGACACCCAGGAATACCAAGGGGTCTAACGACGGCTTCAAAATATTGGAGGATAAGATTGATTAGGGACTGCACCTGTGCCACAATGCCTGCGGAGCAGTTCTCGTTAAGGCAACAGCAGCGCAACGATTCCTGTCCATCAGCATGCCAAACGGGGTTTAAATCGAAAAAGCTCGGAATGTACGGCGCCCTCCTCTTCCTCGACTAAGTTTTCAAGGTGTGGCAAGAACATCTGAATCCAGATTGCCATACTTCCGGCCAAAGCTGCCTGCTACATAGCGGGTAAAACGAGCAAGCCCGTTTGCTTATCCTCTTACTCACGTGGAGAATGTCTGGCTTCTCAAAGCTGAGGAAAATGCCGGTGCCCTTCTTCAGAGACTTCCCCTTGAAGACGTTTCCGAACTGGCCCATCGCAGCCTGCCCGTCGGCCCCGGCCCCTGCGGCTGCAACCCGGGGCGCAAGAGCTTCTTCGAGCGCCCCGTAAAACTGGTCGCCAGTCACGTCACGGGCCAGGACGATCTGCAACTGCTTGGCGAAGTCACCTGCACAGGGGCACGAGCGGGATGTGGGATGAGAAAAGCTGTCGAGATTGGTAGAAAAAGGAAAGGGAGGCGTAAGGGAGTTTAAGGGAGGTGTCTAAGCATCCAGATTCTCCATGAGTCTCCGATCTCTCTGCATTTCAAGCGCGTTGTTACTTGTACAACAAAAACGGTCGGAGGGGCATTCTACAGCGTTCTGAAAGCTTGCGCTCTTCCCCGGTTTCATGAACGGAAGTGTGTACTGCCCTGACTCTGGAAGCAAAGTTTAGAATAGTAACGCGGCAGTTGATAGCATTACGTTACCCTTAGCAGCACTCAATAGTTGCTTGGTGGGGGGACTCTAAAAGTGTGAAAGATGTAGGGATGCTGCAAGCTTGGTCAGTCTGAATAGGGACGTAATGCAAGGAACTTGGACTAAGAAACAGACGCCGACAAGATCACAACCTTGCCTGAAGTCTTGGTATAGGGCTTGAGGGTCGGGGACAAGCGAGGTTCAAAGGACCAAGCACGATTGGCGAACTCAATCCTGAGACTCTGCAGATTGAAAGACATGTGCAGACGCAGATGGAATTCAGGATTGCGTGTCTTTCACGAGTCTCTGAAGTTTTGGCCTCTTAGACTCAAAGAAGGCTGCCCTTTTCTGTACACTGCACCAATTGAACGTGCAACAAAACGCAAGCGCTTGGAGGAGAACTACTGTCACACTCTGAGAAATCCAAGCCACAGTCAATTCCCAGGGGTGCTCACCATCTGCCAGCAGCTTGTAAAAGTTCTCATCCTTTTTGAGCTGGTCCGCGCTTGTGTGCCTCCAGGGCCCCAGCTTATGGATCCCCCGGTCGCCAACGTAGAAGGCCACCGCATACACCTTTACGTTCACTAGCACAACCTTCTTCTCCCGCACTCCTGTTACAGGAAGACAGGGCCATCAGATGATGTCATTGAGCAGTGCTTGCTGAAGCGCTGTCCAGCATACACAAAGAAAGCTTCAGGAAGGCCTGTGACATAGGAAGCCTGACTGGAGAAGCAGGGAAAGGCTCCGTTCCATGCTTGTCCTTTGGGATGTTTCGCATTAGCATGATGTCTCCATGAACGGGAGTCCCGGTAGAGTGTCGGTGCTCCAGGCCAGGCAGGGAATCTTCCTTGAGTGGTGGCGACGCAGCCCCACTGTTTCCCTTCATCAATCGGTTTTCTACTGCAATGTATGTTTCCTTACAATTCCGTAACCTGCCGACAGAGCCATTGATGAATTCATCTGCTGCCTCTGAGAGACTCGCTGCTCATGCACCATCGTATCCTCGGAGGCTTCATTGACACCGTACAAGGTTCCAATGTTGCTATCAAGCACAGTGCCACACCAAAAAGCAGAAAGCCACGGTTGTAACATTTGAGTCATCCTGATGCAGGCTTGTCAAGCTGGAAGTGTAAGACAGCAGTTCGGTTGTCACTGCCAGATTGAACACCAATTTGACTGCCAAGCCAACCCTGTTGCATCATGAGCAACTTGACCTCTGCAATCCGGCCTAGGTACTCCCGAAGTGGTTTTGCCAAGGCTGAATAACTGGTGGCAGTGATCCCACCTGCTGCTTTGCTTCAAAATTGACTCAGCTATCTTGATCGACCAACATTGAAGTTAGGTTCCATGAGCGAAGGAAGTATGCTGGCATTACACGTATGGCACAAGACCCACGGAGTTATTACTTTGCAATGTGACGCTGTGACAGGTGCTTCCAAACCAGAAGATGAAGGAAACTTTCTTGAGGAGTACATGAAGTGCCCCCGTTGATGGCACACCAACATGAAATACATTTGCAAGATAATATGTATACCAGAGCAGGTTATGGTGATTTTTGAAAAGACAGGAACAGGAGCAAACCAGCCAGAGTTGGAAGAGGCATTTCAGCAAGCTCCTCCTACTCCAGGATCTACAATGCTGCAAGGCATAAAATTGGGATAAAATCCCTCACAGCCTCACCTGCTCCGAGCAGCTCAAGCTCGTCGCTTCCCGGAGTCACACTCTGCTTTGCAAATTTGACCCCAGTTGCTGGTTCCATCTTGGTCTCTACAGCCGCTTCCGCAGTCGCTACAATTGCACCAGGTTTGGAAGTGCCCTGCCGCCAATGCAGCCTTCTAGACTGACCCGCTTCTTCTTTGTGCACATTTCCACCCCACATTGCTGAGCTATTGGACGATTTCGTGACCGAATTGTGGTGTTGGCAGCCAATGCAATGCACGAAGAGAGGGAGACATCTCTGAGGTCCAACGTGCTGTCTGCATTGAGCATGAGCAACATGGGCCGTCGTTGCAACTGCATTTTGCGTGAAGGCACATGTTGCTTGCGCCATCATGCACGAAGCTGCGCCACGGAGCTGATCCGGATGTCAGGTTTAGCAGATCCAGTCAAATTCGCCTCCTCCTGCCAATGCCAATGCCAATGGCGTCCAGAGCAGAGTCACACCTGCAGACTTCTGCAGTGGCACAAATCCTGCGCTTCAGCCTTCAACTTCAACTTCAAGTTGGAAAGAAGAGTGACATGCGACGATGGACACACCGGGATGATGGCACAGGCTGGAGGCTGCCTCTCCACAGCCTGCCCTTGCAAGGTGGGAACAGGCGCGTTGTGAACCCTTACGTCAGCAAAGTCACGTCGTGACGTCGGTATGAAGGATGGGGGCAACCACGTGTCAAGTTCTATCCTTCTTATTGGCTGGGCAGATTCTCAAAGATTCCGGCCATGGCTTCCTTCGCAATGCTCTGCATGCACAGGTGGGATTGCAATGGCAGCATGGTGGCAGGAGAGCTTATTTTCTTCCAAAAAAACTCGGAGTCGTAGAGAAGCTCGTTGCCTACTGCACTGGCAGCAAGAAAACCTGATCAAATCTAGTTAGTACATTTGGAAGGGGGAGAAACCTCGCTTGGCTTGTGCCTTGGTTCGAAAGTTTGCAGAACAGCGAAACTCACGAAAAAGAACCGAGTGCTTCCACTGACCGGATGCAATTTTAAGAGGGCAGCAGGATGCAGGCCACTGGTGTCTGGCCATCTCTGCAGACGATGCCGCTAAAACATGCTGGGGTAGCTGTCAACAGTCCTTCTCCAAGCAGCGCCGATTCTTTCTCGACCTGCTGCAGAAACGCTGTTCTAAGAGAACGTGCACAGAGTTTGGCAACAGTTCATAGTAGACAATCTGCAAGATCTCTGCATGTTTGCACGCCAATAGACTGTGTCTGGCAAACCTGCAGCCATCGCTTGCCTCTACTGCCATCAGGAGCACGGTGGAAATACGGCGTGACGGAGTCTGCCAAAAACTGCTTCAACCGACAGATGATGGGTACACCACTGTACACAAAGTATTACGAAGGTGTCACGGTGCCGCCACTCCATCAACCAGGTTGTAGAGCGGCAGCCGTTCGCTTCAATGTGCGGACACCAACAAATTTTGGCGAGGCAAGTGTCAATTGTCTCATCGTTGTCAGCTTCCAGACCGAGTCTTGGTCCAGTCTGTGTCCTGCCATCACTTGGCTTTTCGTCAGGCGTTGCAGCTTATATGCTAGCGTGTGGGTTATCCATCAGCATGTTAGGCTTCAATATGCATTTCAGCACCAAAAAGATGTTGCATTGCTTGTTGATGTTGGTGCTACGAAGAGCTTGAAAAACACCTATTCTTGTTTCGTCGCATTCACCAGCCTTGCTTGCTTTGAGCAACTCACTTGCTGACTGCAGGAGGTGAAAGTTGTTGGTTCCGCAGAACAGCTGGGAAATTGGGACATCAACCGGGCTCCCATGCTGAAATGGACCGAAGATCACTGGTGGCGAGCGGAACTGAACTTGCCAACAGGTACGCGCACTATCTGTTGTACCCCAACTATTTTCACGATTATCTTTCAATCTATCTGAAACCTGCGCCGAGACTGCAGAACGTTTGAATGCCTTTTCAGTATCTGCAGTCCCGTGCAAAACCGTCGCATAGAGGATCCAGTGGAGCTAACTCAATGAAGTGGTTATGAAAGTCTGTGCTTGTTTGCAGATCAGGTTGTGGAATACAAGGTCATTCTGTTGGACCACGCACGCAAGCGCACTGGCGACAGCGTCATTTGGCAAGAAGGAAGCAACCAGATGCTCCATGTTCCCAGCAGCCAAGGTGCGCCAAGGTCTCGCACTTACACTGCATCTGCCATGTGCTTTGCCGAAGCAGACCCTAACTTTCAAGCACAGGCAGCCTCCTTCGTCAAACGCCATCCGCGACCTGGGGCCAATGGAGCCTTCTAGCAGTCCTGTACACATACATCTAGAAGCGGGGAGGTCTTAGTAACCCTTGCACATTGTATTCTGCTGGGAAGGATTCGGCAATGGTCAAACTACTAATAATGTTTCCACTTCTCTCATCTTACAGACTCTCACGTTGTCGAAATCGAATGGGAGCCACCGTCAACAAGTACACCCAATCATGACGAGCCTTCGACAAAGCCTGAGCTTCCTGAGCAAACTAAAGTCTCAACACGCCAGAAGCGATCCCCGAAACGCTCAAAGCCTGTGGCCTCCGCCCCGAAACAATCACCTCCCAAAACCTCCGTGCGAAAGAAGACGGACACTGGGGGCCAGAGCAGCACAGAGATCGAGACAGGCATTCCGTCATGGTTCAGGGAGTCGGTCGTCTACCATATCCAGACGCTAGGCTTCTTTGGTGCGTCATCTTCCCTTCCTTTCTTACAGATGTCTGTTGGTCAGTTTTTTGAGTCGAAGTACGCTCTCACGATTTCGCTGGAGTCTTCCTTTGTGTAAAGGAGCAAACCTTTAGCACCTGAGTTAGGAGATTTGATCAACCCGTTCCTGCAGGGGCTCCTTTACAAACCTTCTGGAAACAATAGGCAAAATGTTCCAAATTTCGAGAATGCATGCGGCTGTCTTGCCCCGGATCACGGCCTTTCAAGTTCACCCCTGCCTTCTGGAGACGGCTTAAGTTTACTTATCGTCATCCTCTTTTGCAGGAGTTGAGGACGAGCCGAACGACGGCACTGGTCCAGTTGGGAACAAGTTGCAAGAGCTTGCGCAATGGTGAGTTTGTTCTGGGTTTTGCTGTGGCAAGAATACAACCTTTTGCCTCTACTCTCTCCTGACGAAAGTTGTGCGTTCTTCTTTGCTATCCTCCCAACTATGTATCTGGGAAGGGAAGTCAACGATCGTTCCTTTCAACGAAGGCACGTTAGGCACGCTCAAAAAGTCGTCAAAAGTACTAGACTTTTCGTTCCGTTGACCGGAGCATCCGCTTGCATCTCAGGTATCCGCACCTCGAAGAGCTTGGAGTCAACACCGTCTACTTCGGTAAGCTAGGCCTTCTTTTTTATCTTTTGGAACATTTGTCTTACCCCAAAAAATGGTTCTTAAGGCGAGTTTGTGCATGCCATCTCGGTTGTGTTTGCAACATGTGAGCGAGACATTCACTTAGAAACTCGAGAGAAGTGGTTTGACTTCAGTCCAAACGGAATTCAACAGCCTTTTTTCACCATGCTTTTAGTGAACCAGGCTTAAAGGGCCGACTAAGATAGTCGTGCGGTCGGTAGAGGTAGCTTCTCAAAGTAAACGAAGTAACTCGGTAGCTGCTAGCTTTCAGACCGTAGTTGAGAAAGGAACGAGACAATTATCCTGAAACGTCTCCCTCAGCTTTTTGTCGGATTATGCAGCTCAGAGTTGCTCCGCGAGTGTGCAGGTTTCAGTACATCCATCTCCATGTGCCCAATGTCGCAGATGAGTCCAAATCCAGCTTGTCTATCCTTGCGCAGGGCCGCTCTTTGAGAGCAGCACCCATGGCTACGACACTGCGGACTACTTCAAGATCGACAGGCGACTGGGAGACGTAAGTTCTAGCAACGATCTAGGATCCGCGTGCTGTTGGATTCTGCTCACTCGTACCGTACAGTCGTCCGCTTTTTGAACAGCAAGATCTGCGGACGTGTTGACGTGGCGACATAATCAACCTCTTGGAACACGCAAACTCCTGTGATTCTTAAATTCCTGGTTCACAGCTTCGGTGATGAGTCAGCGACAAAACGTCATGTTGACTTGGAACGCGAAACCAATGAACCTTTCACAGGTTGAGGGCTCAAGGTAGGGTTTAAACCACGACCGGATGGAAGAATAAGCCCTGCCTGGAACGAGGAGCGACAGACCCGGATTGCTCTGCAGAAAGATTACAGCTGTTTGCGTAAGACTTGCCATCGGATTCCAGACTCTATGAGCCCGGTCCTAATCTTGGGCCGTCCGATGCCTTCCTTGTCGTCGATCGCAGGGTTCACGATCAGAAACCATGGTCGGAGCAGTGAAACCCGATGGCCGGTTGGACGCAAAGAATCGTAATTGTCTGGTTATTGACGTAGAGCTCCGCACTCCTGTGCAGGTCGCCCTTTTCAAGCAGGTAGTGGACGATCTCCACGCCCGGGGCATCCGAGTGATTGTTGACGGCGTGTTCAATCACACGGGACGAAGGTTCTTCGCATTTGAGGACCTGCTGAAAAAGGGAACGAACAGCCAGTATGCAGACTGGTAAGCTGGAAATTGCTTCTCATCTTTTTCTGCCTTCCTTTGAGGGGTTACGAGAAACGCCTTGAGACAAGCGTTCACGGGCGCGAGCCTTTGGAGGCCAATCACCGGTTTTATGAACCGGGTGACACTTCAGTCCTGGCAGTTGCTTTATTCCGTCTTCACTGAATCGCTACATATGTGCTCCCCACATGTTTATACCACCATCAAGAGCGTAGCGTCGAATCGATTCCAACAGCTGCAAACTGAAAACACGTTGATATTTTCTTATCTTATCGGACGAGAATGCTTCTGCCGGCCAAGTATTTGTTGATTCGGGTGTGTAGGTCGCTTTTTTGAAAAAAAGCAACCTGCTTGTTTCTTGCGGAACCGCAATGCTCAGAAGCAGCACGGATAGGGTTGACATCAGCAGCTTGATCTAGACAAGCAGCGGACAGTCATCACGCACCGTTGCTAGAGGAGTTAAGGACCTGCCGACCCTCTTTGATAAATTCTCAAAAGCTCGCCAGCAAGCTTTAGGGTCCCGTTTTGTGGTTGGCATCGAGCACCAACTCGGAGCTCGAAGTAGCCCCCATCGCCCGACAGCCCCCGATCGTGCGATTGTTATGGCCCCTCTTTCGCTTTTTGTGGGCTTATTATTTGCAAAGCGTCATATGTTCGGCGCAAAGCTTATGTCCTTCGTTGCTTCAGGTACCGAGTGAGACCGGGCAAGTCCCCTCTCGGCGACCCGTTTGCTTACGACGCCTGGGAAGGGCACGCCGCGCTTCCCCGTCTCAACTTGAAGAACAATGATGTAAGTCGCTGTGTCATTGGACTCTGGAACGACACTAAGATCTATCACCGTCTAAAGGAGGGTCAGTCTTTTGTGAAATGCACCAGCAGGTGAGTGACTCAAGAAGCTAGGAGGACCTGCCACCCTGATTTTACGGCTCGCAAAGTCACAGTCGAAACCTTGTTGGATCAACAGAGCGAGTAACCGCCCTCCTACACGACTTGGGTTTCTTCCACCACAATGCCGAGGCTGCGCGTCGTGCGCACCTTTTGTAGCTCACACCGGATGAACGAGGATTTGCATGAGAAGGCCATCCGCGCACCAACTTTGGAAGACAGCTAAAGTCAGCGAACGTCAATATGGCGCGAAAATGCCTATTTGCAGAAGGTTTCTTCGCAGTGCGCCCTCATCATGCGGACTTTTTTTTCAGGTGCGCGAGCACATCTTTTCTGTCGCGCGCTTCTGGCTCGGCAAGGTCGGCATCGACGGCTGGCGGCTGGACGTGGCCCACGAGATTGAGCCGGAGTTCTGGGCGGCATTCCGGCCGGTGTGCAAGGTCTGCAGCGGAACCCGAAGCGGAACGATCTGGTCTTACCCTTCTTCGTTTGAGAGAAGCAGATTGCAGTTCATACTCACACCTTTAAGCAACGCTTCTTGACTGTCAAACCTCTAGTTTCCGGTCTGGACTTGGACACCGGATCCTACTAGAGAGGCGCGGATACGGGCGGGGATGTCGGAGGATAAGACCGGCAAAGTCTCTTCTTGAGAACATATGATTCTGTTCCCCTCCGTTGTATCTACCTGCTCGTTGTCTTGCCTGCTGTGCCGGCTTTTCTAACATAACGAAGGTTTTTTTTCGCGGTGCTCTGACATCCGGCTTGTCGATCCGACCCAGCAAACGACTCTTGACTTCTTCAAAGAGCAGCATCGTTCCGTACGTGATACGAGACAGCATCAAGACAGAAAACTGCTGGGGCATATATGGGGTTGGTTTGAGAGCTCACTCCCAAACTCGGTGTGGAGCATATAAAACTCCACATATGAGAGGTTCGATTCAGGATTGTCGGGAAGCGGTTTCATCGAAGGGAACAATCAAAAGCAAAAGTTAGACAATTCATTGCGTGCAGAAAGCACGGGCGGACTCGATCACTTTGGGCGAGATCATCCATGGTAAGCATCCCTTAGCCCGGCGTTGATTCGAAAATCTGGTACACTGTTCGGTGATTCTTATCTGCGAAAACGAGTTCCCGGACAGTGGTGGTTCGGTGTTTTCAGGGCTTGGAGAAGAGGCAGTGCGCTCTCCCAAATAGTGAATGAAAGAAGGGGTTGAGAGTCGCTAAATTTTGTTTTGCACCAGCTTGACTTGCTCAAAAGGTAGCTTGGTCCGCTGCATTTCTCGCCGTACGAATTCGGGCCTTGGAAGCGCTGCGAAGTGCCTTAGCGGAATTAAAGCGACATTCTTTGTGTATGATGCTCGAGGAAGGCAGGGACTCCTTGAAAGCCTTCAGTGTTGTGCAAGGGCAGAGGGGAATTCCCGGTCAATGCATGAATGGTCCGACGACTGGAAGCGTTATCAACCGGAAAAAGGAAGTCGCTTGCTGAACCGCCGAATGGCGTTGCGAGCGTCTGTACCGGTACGAAATTGAAGTCTGCCTTTTCCTACACAGGCGACTACCACAAGTGGGTGGGTCCCGGCCTTCTCGACACGTGTACGAATTACCAGCTCTCCAAGGTGAGGCGATCTGCCGACTTCTATCTTCTCTCATACACGCTAGACTGTCTTGGCAGTTTGATTCCTTCTCGTTCTGCCAGACTTTCACCAGGCGCTCTTCCACTCTCCCATTCTCCTGTTCTTGTCTTTTCAGCCAACTCTGTCGTACGCGACAGAATCGAGCACTTTTTTCAAGTATATCACTGGAACCTAAGCATCATTTTTGCGTACGAACTCGGATCAACCACAGCAGGCTTTGGTATGGATGCTAACACAATCAAGGACGCGCTTTAGACTTGCCGCCAAAAAGATGATCCTTGATCTGTCGTATACGCAATAGCAAGTGCTTTGCCATCAAAGATTTCGGGAAATACAAAAGGACTCGACGAATTGTCCGATGATCATAAACCCTGATCTCGCTTGATGCAGGCCATCTGGAGCAGCCTGAACGACGCCAACTACTTCGAGCTGGCGCACTGCGTGCAACGGGTAAGCAACTCAAGCAAGCGGCTCGGGAGAGAGGGCTTTCTTTTGGGGAAACGAAAGCATCCGCTTCAGTTGCCCATTATGTATTGAATATTGAAGTGACGAGTCTTTGAAACGCTACCCGTTCTGGGTCACCACTCAGCCTTCTGCGATTAGGAAAGGCTTCTACGAAGAGTTCCGGTTCCTTCTTCGCAGATGTTGTGGCACAGAAATGTCTTAAGCACTGCGCCAAAGATTCTTCGGGTCTGTTTGATGAAACAGCGAACGGCTTCTTATCTCGTTCCGCTTGATTTGCTGGAGATGTGTTCAGGATTTCAGGATCATTTCTAGAGGCATGCCATCCATTAGTTCATAGGACTTCCCACGGGCTGGCATCATGGCAATGCCATCTCGAGGGTAATTCACTCCAACTGACGTCAGCATCTCCGCACCTGTCGTCACTAATCATGCACTGCTGACGTCACGCTTGCGTCCTCCGCAGGAGCTGGACATGTACGGCTCTCTGGACGCCCTGCTCAACTTCGTCGGCAACCACGACGTGCCGCGCCTTGCGTCCAAGGTGCGTCTTTCGGACGGCCGGTTCTATTTTGGCTGCGATACACACTCCGCTCTGAACTCGATACTGATGCAATTCTGGCTGTTAGGGCTTCAGCCAAAACAACGAGCCTGGGGAAGAGTTTCAATGCATCGTTTCTATCTCCAGAGAAACGATGCAAAGGGCCTCGAAACGATGTAGGAAACTGGAAGCGACGGCAAGGTGCCTTTATTCTGGGGGTTGCGGCGGTTCTGGTGCTGTGATTTGAGGCGCATGCGCGGACAGCTTTCAAATAGTTATGGCTACGACCGGGAACGCTCCGGCCGGAGCTTATTATTGTGCCGGCATCGGACTATGATATTCAGTCATGGCATTCAGGAGGGTAGTCACGGACAGCCGGAATGTTCTCCTCGTAGGTGCAGATTGCTACGACCACCATTGTTGATTTTCTGCCTCCTCCATTTTGCAGCTCAAGACCCCGGAGCATTTCTTTGTGGCCATGCTCTTCTTGCTCACCATGCGAGGCGTCCCCTGCCTCTATTACGGTACGCTCCCGCTCTTGGATAGGTTGGCTTATGTGCAAGCAATGCGTGCGCAAAGCTTTTGGGGTTTACCTTTTGCACGACACTTGAAAGCGCCGGTGGGTCATCCAACCGGGAACGGGGCCCGTGCTGCACCCTTATGGCGGCTTTTGCTGGTGACCATCTAGTCGAAAACTTTGTAGGGACAGAAAAAGAGAATCAGCACGAGGTCAGACTCAGAAACGGTGCAAAGGCCACACACTTTCTCCCAAACATCACACGATAGTCACGAGCGGCCCGCCCAAGCCGATGCGATGCGAACTTCTGGAAGTAAATCTAACGGCAGCCCACCGACCATTACCCTTAGCAGTTCTTTGGCACAGAGCCTCTCTCACGCGGAAGCTGAGCGTTTGAATTGGCTACTCAACCATGGAAACTTGAAAGCAAACTAAGGGCAAAAGGAGAGAGGCAATCTCAAAACGCCTCTTGACCCTCATTGCGTTTCTTCATGAGCAAAGCAAGAGAAAAAGTAGAGATGCAATCACAGAAGGCCCCTTGACTCTGACTGCGGAGTTTGCCAGGCGATGAGGCGGGGATGAAGGGCGAGCCCGGCGGCCCTCGTGGGGACACCGCCATGCGGATGCCGCTCGCCTTTGACCACACCCCTGAGAACGACCGGAAATTCCAACAGACGGCGCAGCTGGTGAGAAGGGCCTAAAACGTAGGAAAATGTTCGTCGGAGAAAGTGGAGTGGGAACGAAACAATGCTTTTTTGATGTGAGAAGTGACCCGATTCTGACCAATTCCAAATACGCTTTCATCCTCGTGCTTTTAAGTTCACTGAGATGCTATTCTGAGACTGATATGTTGGGTTAAGTTGCACCGAAGCCGTCTCCTTGGCCCGGGGGAAGGGGTTCAGGACCATGGTGCCAAATTATGGCTCGCAAAAGTTTGTGTAACCGCTTGGTTTTCCCTGAAATGGAGTTGAGAGAATAGTTAGGAGAGGTGGAGGGCGGGTTAACTGGCGGGATGTCTAAGCTGATTACTGTGATAAAGTGAGGTTGCATTCTCAGTACTGGAAACGAAGCAGCGTATTCTTTCAGGGCAACGGACTCCTGGAGGAGAACACAGAGGTGCCCCTTGTTGGAGCAAGTCACAATAGTAGGTTAAACGCTTCAATTTGTGGAGCGCACTCCCGGCTGCGTGTTCGTAAGCTATCTTTCAATCTTCTAAGCCAGTCTTTATTCTTCCGAAGCCGTTTTTCGTGCTTTGTAAGCCATCCTTTACTGTTCAACTGCAGGTTCGATTGCGGCGAAGCAGCCCGGCTTTGATGTACGGAAGCATGCAGCTCCTTGGCAACAGCAACACGCACATGACGTAAGCATGACTTCGTCCTGATCATCTTTGCTATCTGCTGAGAAACGCTCACCGTTCAGAAAGTCTCAGGACATTGGGTGGACCGGAAGCTGAACGGACGTCAACCATGAGACACGTCCTTTCTCAAGCTCGTTACAAGATGGACTCCTATCATTCCATCTGTGTCATGCGTCGCTGCAGGGCTTTCTTGGGGACCCATTTTGCTTACAGACGGGTTAAAGGATAGCATAAAAAGGTTTCAGGCACAAAGACGTCGTCCAGTCTAGAATATTTGAATTTGAACCCCGTCTATATGAAATACAACCCCAATTGCGTACACCGAAGTTCGCTCTACCCAACTGCAATGGCTGCAACTTTCTGCTTTCTTTTGATTTGGATGTTGTGGTCGCCCTTGCTGAACGAGGAACCTGGCAGATTTTGTTTCTTTCTTCTTTTCCCGGCTCCACCTTAAAATCCTCGGCAGATCATGTCGCAAAAGCAGATAGGAAATATTCTAGTCTCAGACGAAGGGGCAACGGCATAGAGCTTCCTGCGACGCGAAACTAGTCTGTAGGCCCGTCCAATCGAACTTCCACCTGACTCAGCTTCTATGACTGGTGTTCCAACTGTATATCATCGAGTTATCTGCAGGTTTTTGCGGAGGACCGACTCACAGGTGGCCATCGTTGTGCTCAACTGCGCGGCATCCGCTGCGTCCATCACCATCGACTTAAGCAGGTGGGCTGCTCGGCCAATCTGGGTTGCAGATTTTTGGATCGGAATTAATCAACTTTTGTTTGTTCGTCTTTTCTCTTGAGCATCCGTAGCAAAGGGCTTTTTCCCAGCCAGATACCTCACATGAACGACGAGCGTGTCCGGTAGGCCGGTATGAAGCTAGAAGTAATCCCAAATCGACACCAGAGCTCGTCGCAAGCCCAGCAGACATTTGATGCCTGCATTCGAGACCTCGGCCTTGACTTGGTATGACGAATCCTCCAATGTCTATTTCGTACTCCTGTTGAGTGTCTCTAGCGTTCAGCTTTGTCGCTGCTTCAAAGCATCAAGGATACTTGCGCTTCTTAAACCGTTGAAAAACGGAGTTGATGAGCGCCAAAACCAGAAGCTCGTCAGATGGAAAAGGCAGCGCCGATCTGCATCTGAAAAAGCGTTGGCGCTTTTATGCAGATGCGGCTTGTGGGATGGCCTCGTGCTAAAGGACGCACTGAACGGCGACGCAGCGTGTACCCTCAAGAACGGGTGAGGTCGCCGCGATCCCTTATATGATTTCTCTCTACTCTGCGTTTAAATCTTCCGTGAGCATTTGTTGGCGGGCGTCAATACTCGCCTTGCCCGAGGTGGCCTAGACTTAAGGGCTTAAGAATGATTACTTGGCTGGAGCACGACAAGAGTCTTGCCGGTCCGATCAGACCATACTGGGCGCAAGCCAAACGACTTCGACACTCAGGAGGGCAGAACCAAAGTAGGAAATGGTCAGAAGCACAGTCGCCTATTCTAGCGAGGTTCTTAGAACGAGCGTTTTTCTTCAAACTGTAAAAAGGGTGAACCACATGTTGGTGCAGGCGATTGGAGCTGCCGCAAGTGGCAGCCGCGAGCGGGAGCGTTTTGCTTGGCAGCTTGTGACGCTTGTACCGGGCCAACAATCCTTGCGGTAAGAAACGTTCGACAAGGCAGCGGCAGGTGACCATGCGAATTAAACGGAACGTTGCAGGCACGCTCTGGTACATTTGTTCATGCCATGCAAGAGCTCATTGGGAGCAACTTGGAGCATCATAAGTGATTGCGAAGCGTAGAGCTGCTGTAGCGAGTCATGTGCACCCTTGTACAAGTATCGTCGTTCAGGAGACCGCGACCGGACGGTCTGAGGGCAGGGGCAATGTTGCTGCCCGTACAGCGCAAAGCCGGACCTATAAATGCAGACATTGGTGTCGGAGTATACGATAAACATATGTGATTGCAAATGCCGGATTGGCAGGCCAGAGTTCAACTATCAATATGCGTACGTCGTATACATATGTGAGAGGCCGGGTGCAACCATCGGTCGACAATTGTGCATGTGCGGCGCGCATGCATTGAAATTGCAACATTACAGCGGCCCTCGTGCGCACGTACGATCGTTTCAGTTTTCGACGCTGTGTTGCGACCATATGTATTAAACGAGCATGGCCAGCTCGACACCTTTCATATGGACATCCGACCTCAAGCATGTCTTGTATACACCGTTGGCAATTGAAGCTTGCTATGGATGGCACTGATTACGTTGTTCAATGTCGAAACATATGTATAATCCATGAGCAGAACGTTCAGCGGCATGAGTTGCAAATTAGAGCCATGACTCTACATGCATCATGCGATTCAAGCTACTCTAAAGTCATGATCTATGAGTATCAGGGTCAAACCGCCCAACAGTGAGTGACTGCAGTGAGTACAAATATTCGAGTCACTGCAATGATCCTTACAAAACGGGGCCTCAATCAAGCCGGATTGGAAGCTCTGAGGGTAGTGGTCACGGTTAACTCACGAGGTTGTTTCACTCAGGCTTGCCCCGCCCTATTGCAAGGATGCTGCTCTCCTCCCTCCTCCGAACCGTACAGAAGAATGGAACAAGTCCTGAGAACGTGTCTGCCAATCCCCTCAGCAGCGAATCAGACGGGGCTGAAGACAGAAAGTCGACCTCGACCCTTTGCAGATCTCGACAGCTCTGCTGGATTTCTAGGAATGTTTGCAAGAAGCGAGTTTGACTGCTCCATGTTGCACTGGACACGATCCCTACACGCAGCTTTCTAAGCTGCCTGCAGAGTGAAATCTCGTTCAAAGCATCAAGCGTATCGCATTGATTGAGCTCAAGACCTGTGATTTGGTCTGCGACGCCCTTGAACCCCTTGTGGATTGACCGTCTAAAGCACATGCTTGTCAATCTTGGGAACTTTAGTGACTCTATGCAGTCTTCCAAGCCGGCTTCGCTCGCTCCGTGCTTTTGGCAACCGGAAAGTTGACTGGACGAGATGATCTTCAGCCTTTCCAACTGGGGCATTGCGCAGTCGCAGAAGTAGACCTCCTTCTTGTGGCGAACGTTCGTCAGGGACAGGGAGACCAGAGAAGGGCACTTTTGGGCTAGGCTCACAAAGTCATCTATGATGCACCGCTCAAGATAAATCTCCCTCAGATGCGAGAACACTGCTGACCCCGACGCAAAGTCCATCAAGGGAGAGAATCCGCGAAGCTCCATGAAGAAGGCTTTCTCAGAATCTCTATCCCTCCCGTCTCCATGCTCACACTTTCTTTTAAACCATGAGAAAACGTCATAAGAGGAAGGTTCTCCAGGCCGCACAATACTGAGATACTCGAGATGCGGGAGCGCTTCCGCTAAGGAGAACACCTGTAGCCCTAGCTTTTTGGCCATTGCTTCCCCCCCTTCAGAATCCCTCGAGGGCGCATCAAACGGCAACAAAGGCTGCGTAATCGTCAGGCTTTTGAGCCTCTTGTACGGGGGGGGAGTTCCCTCACTGAACAGGTTGCCGTAATGCACCCCCCGCAGGTTGCTCACGTCCAGATCCTCCAAGCCTTGCATTTTGTGCATGAGTGCAGCGAGCGCCTCCAGGTCTACTTCCCCATGAGGGGTGGTGAAACTGAGGCGTCGCGCCCCAGAATAGCGGGCCGCTACCCGTTCCAGCACCTTCTGATTCCATTTCTTTCCGCTTCTGAGCCGCCCTGCTCTGACAACCACATTTCGGTACGCTGACTTGACCGCCTGCAGGCTGGCTTTGTTCACCAGGGACAGCGCCTTCAGATTTTCTTGCGAGAGGGGGGCAAAGACCCTGCAAAGCAGCTCCCCCGGGAGGGAGAGCAGCCCCTCTGCGGACAATTGTTTGCTGTTTGCCATGCGCGCAACGATCCTTCGGCACCGACACCGTGTATATGCTGAGGCTCTGCCCATTCCTGCTTGCTTCAGCCAGAGCAACGCTAGCAACTAGAAAGGCGCCCACTTCCTATGTTGCCATCCGACTCAAATTTGACGAATATGGACCGCAAGATGGAAAGTTTGGCTTCATCGGACGGCTTCAAGTTCGGGTTCATCTAAGGGGGAGTGCACTGCGCAGTGGGGATTGCGGACTTGCTAGGTCGACACTGTACCGGTGCATGCAGCCTGAGCCGGAGAAGGGATGGGCTAGAGCTCCTGCTATCGCCGTGCAGGACCACTCATATGGATCTGAGCCCCAATTGCTAAGCCCCCCCTGCTCCAAGCATGGTCTGCACAGGCGCCGCTCGGGGTACCCCTAGCGCCCCTTGCCCCAGCACATCCGACCCCGAACACCTTATCGTGCTGGCAAACGGCATCCTATCAGACCCAAACGACTGGAACCATCTGGAATCCCTACTCCTTAAAGAACCTCAGCAGAGCTTCCTGCTGTATGCAGAGAAGGACAATGTGTCCTTCAACACGATGCGGGGGATCGACGTTGCGGGGAAGCGCCTCGCCGAGGGGGTCTTAGAAGTGGTGAAACGAACCCCCTCGCTGCGGAGGATCTCGTTTGTGGCGCACTCCTTGGGGGGCTTGTTTGTGCGCTACTGCCTGGCGTTGCTGTACCGGCCTGGAAAGGAGGGGAGTGCTCATGTGCTTTTGAAGGGTGGTGCAACTAGAGTTGACAGCAATTCTGGGGGGACACCATGTCAAAAGCAGCGGGGAGGAGAGGATGGTGAAGCAGAGAAGGGGTCAAACCGGGCAACAAGAGTTGAGATGGTGCAGGACAGCCAGAAAGGTGTGCCTGACGGGACGCTGGAAGCTGAGTCCGGGCTCGGGGTTGATGGCGGCCAACAAGATGGTGCCACCTGGCGCTCAACTGAGGAAGACTCTCTTCCAAGCTACAATACTCATCAGCCCGTCACTGTCACAAATAGTCAAACACCTGTGGGCGTCGGGCTAGATCCCTCCGAGAGCAACCTCCTCGGCCACTTCGCATCAGAGCCCGGGTCCGACGACCCAAAACCCCAGCCCACAATCGCCGGCCTCGAGCCTGCTCACCTCATCCTAGTTGCCGTGCCCCACCTGGGTGTCTGGGGCCGGCGCCAGTGGCCATTTGCGCACGGGGTCCATTCCTTCGAGCGCGTCGCGTCGTGCTTCTCGGGCGTGTTTTTGGGTCGGACCCTGAAGCAGCTTTTCCTGCGGGACAGGAATGTGGACGGGGAGCCGCTGCTGCTAAGTATGTCGAAGGACTGCAAGGACCGCCCGTTCGTCTCGGCGCTAGGGGCCTTCCGCACGAGGTGGGTTCCGGGGGTTTGCTGGTGCTTGGGGCGCTCTGCATTAGGTGAAAATGGAGGTGTTTGCATGCGCGTGGGGTGCTTGAAAGCAGGTGAGAAAGTAGGGTTTTGCATGCGCTTTTCAATTGTGGTTTGAGCTGGTTCTAAGTTGCCTTCCCCTATGTCGAGATGGTTGGGTTCCCCTTTTGCAAGAGGTGGCCGACAGCGAGTTATCACATGAGTTCACGTGTGCTTCTTTTTCGAATGGATTCATCAGTTGTCAGATCTATCTTCCTATGTACAAGCTTGCTTAGACTACTAGGCACCTCCCATGCAGGCACTTGTACGCCAACGTAAGATACGACGCCGCGCTCGGTTGGAAAACGTCCTGCATCCGCTACGACACCGATTTGGACCAAGTCCAGAAGCGGTGCCTCGAGCGAGCGGAGCGACGAGAGTGGCTCAGCGCTCGCTACCCACACATTGTGCACGTAGAGGAAACCCCGGGGCTGAGGCACACCTCGGAAACATCTTCATTTCAGGGGGCTGCGCTTGACTACGTTTTTGCCCCTCCGTTGACGCGACAGCTGTCGGAGGCGCTGACAGCTGCTTTGAGCAAGAAAGGGAAAGACGGGAAGGGGGTCGCTTCGGGTGAGGGAAAGAAGCCCGCGCACAGGTGGAGCAGCGAAGAGGCGTGCCGGGCTTTGGAGGACAGAATGGTCGGGGGATTGCACCGGGTGTCGTGGACAAAGGTGGACGTGCTGTTCCATCGTGCCCCTGGGCGAAAGTACGCGCACCAGATGCTCATCTTGAAGGACCCGGTCCAGCAGGCGGCGGGGCAGGGGGTGGTTAACCACATAATTGATGTGCTGTGTGACAACATTTGACGTGCCTGGTTTGTTTGAGTACGAAAGGGCAGGCGTTGCAAGTTGCTTGTAGCTGCTCAGCGGACAGATTACAAGCGGATTGGAGGGAAGGATCCGACAGATGTACTAAGTCAGACTGTAAACGCTTCTGCACGCATCAGCAATTCCAGAATAGAGACGGCATCACAATGATACACAATCAAGCAAGCAGCAATCCTGTATACAACGTCAGCTCGTTTTGAGACACTGCGGCGCTAGATTTGTTATATTCCGTACCAACCAACCTTGATTGGATCAGCACCTTTACTTTTGCCTTCGTCGACATATACGGCGAAGTTGTGTACGTGATATGTCAGCTGAGCATGCCAGCTCATTGCATGATCGGGCGGTGGGCGGCACTGATCTGTGCATGCATCGAACGATGGCCGGAGTCTCTGTAATGATAGCTACTAGCTCGTGCACCGGACCTTGTTTAAGCTCAGTGCATGTCCGAAGATGTTTATAAGTGGATGATCTGAAGCTTGGAAAATGTATTGTCTGGCACCAACGCGTCACGTTCGGACAGCGCCGGCCATCATTTCAAAACTTACCAAACGTGTATTATATTGATGGATCTGATCATAACTTGAAGAAAACGTCAACATATATACCGTGGCGCTGCTAAGTTGCTTATAGATTGCCTCGATCGCAGAACACCGTGCATGACGTCTACATGTCGGAGGTCAATGTCCGCTGGCATTTGAAGCAGCAACTAGCTTAATTAAGTTCATGAGTTGAGCGCGGCCGGCCCGAACTTGTCTCCCCGTATATATGATCAATTCGCGCCTGCCTGGCATTGCATCCAAACAATGAAACAACAACTAAGCAAAGGCGCGGACTGAACCGTCGTCCGAACAGAATCACTTGCAACTTAGTGCAAAGGTTTTGACGTGAACTTCGCGCAGATTTTGTACAAGTGTTATCGAAGCTCGTTAGCTTCTCGAGAAGCGCAGTCCGGTCTCGTTAAGGTTGCGCCTATTAAATTGAACGGTTAAGCTCTACAGGAGCTCTAACGACGTATCACTTGGGTCTCGCTGGGTGTTAGACGGAACGGCTATCCACCATGGCACGACACTCTTCTCGTCTCGTGCCGGTCTCCTTGGCAGCACCCTCTGCCGCTGCAGAGGGGGGGTCTCGTCCCTGCCTTCTGAGCGACTAGCGGACCTCGTACGTATCGAATCCTTATCCTCTGCATGTACCTCCACTATTTCTGCCCCCCCACGCCGCAAACTTCGCTTCTCTCGCTCCCCGACACCCCCCTCACCGCGCGGCTTAGCCGAGGGATCCCCGTCCCTCTTTCTTTTCGCCCGGGTCTCCCAACACGGCCCGACCGTGAGGCTGAGCTCGCTAGCGGCAGGCCGGTTCCCCGCCGTAGCCAAATTCCCGCCGACTTTGGGCGGCGATTCCACCTCGCCATCTTTCCCCGCTCTACCCACCTCGTTCAGGCGCTTCTCTCCCGAGGGGGGGCTCGAAAGGACTGCCGAGCCACAGCTGTCCGAATCTGGGGGTCCACCAACATCTTCTGCCGTCGAGCGTTCTTTCCCACCCCCCTCGAACGGCTGCAAATTCCGCCCCCCCCGGGCGTTCAACGCCGAGCAGACGGGCTCTGCTAACGCACCGCCGACAGGCAGGGGAACGCTCGCCAGACCGAAACAAGCCCCTTCCGTCGATGCTCCCCTTGACGGGACGACTGGACTAACGAGAACCTTGCCTTGTTCTCTCAAGTCTGCTCGGGCGGCCGTTTGAGCGACCTCTTTAGGCGCCATCCCCACTACAGCGGTCGCCGGGACGGGCTCGTGAGGGCGTGACCCTCTTGCGCGGGGATACACGTCCGAATTTCCGGCCGCGGAAGGCTCCTGCGCGCCTCGCTTAACAGTACGAATCCCCCCGCGTTCAAGACAAACCCCAACGCCGGAAATGGGAGCTTTCAACCGCTCGCTTTCTACATGGTCATCGGTTCCTTTTCCCCATGGCAAGTCTTCTCTGGGTTCACACGCTTCTCTGTCTACGAGACCCATACCCTTCGCAGCCGCATCTATATCCCCCGCTCTTTCTAGTTCTCCTCGCCGTACAAATGTGAACGTACCCTGCCTCCCTTGCCGCGCCACCAAGCTGGCCGCAAACGACACTTCCCCCGGCGTATTCACATCGTCCCCATCGCCAGGCCGCCCCCAAGTGTGCACAGCCACCGGGCGCAACCGCAACCCTTCCTGGGTCGCTTCAGCCATCTGCTCCAAACCCGTCGTTTCGACCGGAAGAGAAACCGGCGGAGTTCCTGGCCCCCAGACAGGATCCTCCCTGCCTTTCCAGCCCTTGAGAACCTTGACCGCAAAACCCGGCGGTTGCGCTTTTCTGCTGGATTCCTCTCCCGCTATCAACGGTTCGACCCCCCTTTCGAACGACGCCGCGACCTGTTCCCCTAAAGTCCACCCCGTGTTGCAGAACGGGGGGGGTTTGGCAAGCCCCAAAAGGCGCTCCGTCCTCCCCACTTTCAAAGGAGTGCTCTTTAATTGAGCTGCTGATACGCTTTCTGCATCCGTCACTCCCCTTGCTGACGTCATGAAGTCTCCAGGCCCTTCAACGCAGCTTGGCGCCTTTTCCGTTGCGGCCCCCTCCTCGAACCGTTGAGCCGGCGCACACGCCAACGAGGCGCGTTTCCCAGCCCCAGCGGTGACGACAGCAGCGACACGACTGACGTCATCAGGGACGTCGCCCGGGGCCTCCGCCACCCGGCCGCTCTTCCGCTTCTTAGCGGGCCGGAAGGGGGGTTCTTCGACGAGGAAACCATTTGGAAGCGGACCCCCCCGTTTGTGGAACAAGACACCAGGGACTTTTTCTGCGATCTCGAAGCGCCGTGTCCCATACTTTGTACCATTTGACTCCGCAAAAAGAGGGGCGGTTTTGACGGCGGCCTTTAGATAGGCTCCGTTCGCTTCCGCCAACCCGTTCCGTCCTGACGTCGTCCCCTCCATTGCACTAGCTGGCATGTTGCGCTCCGCATCAATGTCTGCGAACGGCAGACCTCCCAGAGCAGAAGGAAAGGCGTCCCGGATCGCACGCTCGGGGTTTAGGATTTTGAAAAAGGGGTGCTCGCGCGCTTCCTCCGGAGTCGGCCGTAACGCGGGATCGTATTCAAGCAGCCGGCAGACCAAGTCCGCCAGGGGGGGGTCGATCGCACTCAGCGCAGCCCCCAGCTTCGACCTTACCCCCGCCCCCCCAAAGTGTTGCGCGCCTCCGTGAAAGCCAATCTTCGAACCCCACCCGAAGTGACCGGGGGAGGGCGACCCGGCCTCTTTGCACACCCGTGCGTAAAGTCGCCCGGAACCGAAAAGTGCCCGGGGAGGGATCCCCCCGAGCGCGGCGGTCATTTGCTGGAGAAGCTGGCCGGGCGTTTGGGCCGCGAAGAGGAGGCGCCGGAGCGCCAGCTCAGCAATGATGCAGCCGAGCGACCACATGTCGATGGCCGGGGTGAGGGGGCCGGCGCCAAAAAGGACCTCGGGGGCGCGGTAGGACAGAGTCTGAATGTCAAAGTCCTGTGGGAAATTGTATGAAGTTTTAGGGTTTTGTAGGGTTTTTGAGATCTTTTACGTTTATGGAGCGCCAGCTCAGCGATGATGCAGCCGAGCGACCACATGTCGATGGCCGGGGTGAGGGGGCCGGCGCCGAAGAGGACCTCGGGGGCGCGGTAGGACACAGTCTAAATGTCGAAGTCCTGTGGAACGTCGTAGAAGGTTTAGACTTTTGGATTTTGATGTTTGAGGAGCGTTAGCTCAGCAACGATGCAGCTGAGGGGGCAACAGGATCCATCGCGAGGGTGAGGGGGCCGGCGCCGAAGAGGACCTCGGGTTTTAGGGTACGACAGAGTCTGGATGTCGAAGTCCTGAGAAAACGATACCAGGCACTTCATTTTCAGTCCTGAGAGGCTTCAAGAACGAGACTTGCAACGTACGCGAGCCGAGACCAAAGACCTGGGGGAGCTCTAGTTAGAAAATTTCGTTCCTGAAAGAGAGTTTGACAGGCCTTTGGCTTCAAAGTCATGGCTGGGCAATGATATCAGGGCTCGTGGAGGAAAGATCGTCAAAGAGAGAACACTTTTGAGGATTTAACAGAGAGTGTCCGAGCTTTATCAATGCTTACAAGCATCTCGGAAAAAAGTGTTAGAGGAGTGTCGACTGTGGGTTGAAGAGAGCGCGCAGGGCTCCAGCACAGAAGCACGCCTTCGTACCACTTTCAATCCTTAGCTTGACCTTCGCGCTTAGCGCAGGCGAAGCGCACAGTTCCGGATCGTCAATGCATCTTCAGATTCTTCCGCGTTGACGTCCAAGAGACTTCATTTCGCGTAAAAAGCAAACCAAGGATTGCAAACCTCCTCACCTCCTCCTCGTGGTTCAACTCTCCGAACGCGTTCCCAAAGTCGGCCAGCTTGATCCCCATGGACCCCCACCCCCGGTCGCCGCCAACTCCCGTCGGGTCTGGAACCGCGGTGCAGGGGCGGCACATGAGGATGTTCTCGAGCTTCAAGTCGGCGTGCGTCAGACCGGCGGCGCGCAGGAAGTCGAGGCTGGTCAGGAGCTGGTATGCAATCTTGCGCAGGTCGGAAACGAGGGCCTGCAAGATTGAGACATGACTTTAGAAGGTGCAAATGTTGCTATGCGTTTTTCATTATTGAATTGTGGTTGAAGTCAAGGGACGCTACAAAGAAGGTGAGGCTCGTCAGGAGCTGGTATGCGATCTTGCGCAGGTCAGACAGGAGAGCCTGCAAAATCGGGACATTACTCAGAAGATGCAAATGCTTAAGAGGCTGTGACAAATGGATTTCTGGGATGGGAGTGGTTGAGGTTCATGGACGCTACAAGGAAGGCGACAATGGCCAGAAGCTGGTATGCAATCCTGTGCAGGTCAGACAAGAGGGCCCGCAAACCCGAGACATGGATCAGAAGATGCAAATGGTGCTAAGGAATCGTGAAATTGTTGGAAGCGGAGTTTTTTGATCGAGATTTGGTTTCGAGATGGTTAGGGTTAGGGATGCTGCAAGGAAGGCGACGCTCGTCAGGAGCTGGTACGCGATCTTGCGCAGGTCGGGGAGGAGGGCCTGCAAAACTGGGACATGATTCAGAAGAGGCGAATGGTGCTAAGAGAACGTAAACGGTGCTGGAAGGAGACGTTCAAATCGTAAATTGGTGACAATTAGCGGATGCGAAGGAGAGTGAGCGTAAAAGTTGCCAAGGTCGCAGAGAAGAGCTTGCAAAAGACAGAACGAGGTCTTGGTTTGGTAGAAGCAAGTCGGTTCGGCCAGCAAATTTCAATCCCCTCAAACCGAGAGTCGCTCTGCGACTTCTTTGCATTGATGCACAAAGTTACTCCCGAAATCGACAGCCGTGGGCAACCAAAATATCATTCCGACTGACGGAATGACCAAGTCGCATTTGGTACAGTACAAGAAAACTTTTCCAGTCACATAAGAGAGACCTTATAACCGTCAATCGCCAAAGCTCTTTCCTTCCCAACTGTTTTTTCTTAAACTAGTTGAAATGCTTTTAAGCGACTGATTAAAGACCGATCTTCTGACATTCTGTTCCCCACGCGCTTCTCACCCACCTGGTTCGACCTCCCGAGCGACGCCTCGAGCCCCAGGTAATCCAACAAGCTCCCGTACAAGCGGTCCATGACGAGGCACACGTGGCCGTGGAATTCGAACAGCGAGCGCAGCCTGATGACGTGGCACGCGTCGTGGACGTCCTTTGAGTTGAGGAAGCGCAGGAGGCGCGCCTCTTGGAGCGCGCATTCGCGGTACTTCTGGTGCATCACCTTGATGACCACGACCTGGGTTTGGGTTAAGCGAACGGGTTAGCTTCGGTTCTGTGTCGTTATATCCGTGACCCAGTTTCCGAAAGTGATGCGCATCTTGCAGCGCACACTCGTGGTAAGCGGTACTTCTGGTGCATCACCTTGATGACCACGACCTGGGTTCGGGTTAAGCGAACGGGTTAGCTTCGGTTATGTGTCGTGATATCCGTGACCCAGTTTCGAAAATAAAGTGGTGCGCCTCTTGGAGGGCGCACTCGCGGTATTTCTGGTGCATCACCTTGATGACCACGACCTGGGGTTGGGTTTAGTGAACGGGTTACCTTCTGTTAAGTCTGTGACCCAATCTACAAGAAAAAATGCTGTGGTCTGTGCCGTGCGCACTCGCGGTTCTGGTGCATCGCTTTGATGACCACGGCCTTGGAAAGTAAGCGAACGGGTTAGCGTCGGTTATGTTTCGTCATCTCCGTGACCCAGTTTCCGTCAACGTGGTGCGCCTCTTGGAGCGCGCACTCACGGTACTTCTGGTGCATTACCTTGATAACCACGACCTGGGTTCGGGTTAAGCGAACGGGTTAGCATCGGTTATGTGTCGTTATTCCCGTGACCCACTTTCGAAAGTAAAGTGGTGCGCCTCTTGGAGCGCGCACCCGCGGTACTTCTGGTGCATCACCTTGATGACCACGACCTGGGGTTGAGTTAAGCGAACGGGTTAGCTCCTGTTAAAACCCGTGACCCAACCTACATGACAAAATGCTGCGGTCTATGCAGAGTTCAATTGCAATTCTTTTGGTGCATCACTTTGATGACCACCTGTCATGGGTTAAGCACATGGGTTAAGTGAACAGGTTGGCTTCTAAGTATTTGCCATGACGATTGTGATCTCGTTCTGGATGCAACTGTGAAGCTCTTCATTTTCTAATCGCTTTCTCGGTCCACATATGAAGATTGAGAGAATTGATGCATTGACTTCTGTCCTCGTCTTATGATGTCATGACCGACAGAAAGGTTGGCTACCTTCCATCTGAAACTTTGTACCCCAGACCTGGATCTGGATAAGAAGATGGATTAGCTTTCGTGGATCCTTCATCCACAACCTGCTTTGATGTAGGAGGATGCTTCAGCATCTGTTCTATCTTTTATATTGGGATCATATCTTCACGGTCAACAAGTCGTCATGGCTGCACTTCAGGGTCAGCTTCCGCGTCTATTAAATGATCACGGCCTGGTGATCATTTTCGTGTCCACTTCCGTGTTATTCAATCATCTCTTTCTGACCACGACCTGGTTGGGGGGTCATTACTAGGCCTTTCTTCACAGAAGGAGGCAAGGACGAACCCGTTTCTGGTCAAGCCTGAAAAAAAGGACGCGTAAGCCTACGTTAATAGAAGAGAAAGCGGGGGCCGCACCTCGCTTCTGGAGCTTTGAGTGTAGCAATCATATCCCCAAGTTGAGGGTACTTTCAACAAAGGATTGCAAGTCAGAAGATCTTGGAATGCCGTACCATGGAGAAGGTGTTGGATCAGATGAGTGCACTTTCCTTGTGAAAACAAAATCAGGCTTTGAGAAAGAACTGAGACACTGTGGCAGGGTGGAGGACAAGAGTAATGATCTGACGATTGCAAGAAGTGCAGGGGGGGCTGACTGAAAACACCACAAAGGGGGCGCAGAAAGAAACTATATTCATACAGGCACCGGAAGCGACCGGTTTCTAACAGCTTGCAAGCATACTTCTCAGCCCCAAAGCAGATCATGGGGACTGCCTGCTGGAGTAAAAGCGTTGTGAGTCTCCCCCCGGCCACAAGTCCTCCCACTGGTTTTTGCCCCTGAGGCAAACAATCATTTGCAGTGTCCCCCCAACAATCTGCACGCGCTAAGGAGGTCTTTGAGAACAAATCTTCTTACATCCTGAGAAGGCTTGAACGTATCCTCTGCGGTGATGACGACCGCTGACACGCCTTCTGCGATGCACTCCAGGTAGCAGAACCTCCCCCCAAGCATCAACCCGGGGTACCGCGTGTCAAACTTCCCCCCCAAGGATGTGTACGAGTCAGTGCCTGGTGCACACGACTTTGATCAGTACCATAGCCAACACAGCAGGAGATGTGTTGCCTGGCGACACACTCACCAGCTTCTAAAATGCATCCCTTCCTGATAAAACAGCTGCCAAAGCCTAGCTGGTTTGATTCTGAAATAATCATATGCATATGCATCGGGCTCCTGATTGGTCAGCATACGCCACCGCATCAAGGCAACAAGAGAGTATGAGCAGCAGTGTATTCCCAGTGTACATCGGTCAACATCTTCTACAAAGATGAGGACACATTCCAGAGTCCTCCTTGAGGTGACTAATGCGCAGCACCGATCGAGGTACTTGTTAGCCTCCTTTGCAAAGCATTGGCAGACTCTCACAATGCCAAAACTATAGCGGAACCTTTCATCCAAAATGTTGAAGGGAGCGAGTGGAGCAGGGTAATAATAGCCAAGCTTGGTTCCCCTTCCTGGAAAGGAGACATAAGATAAGTGGACCACCAATCTGGTGGCAGCCTCACCTTGAGGGGCGTGCCGCCCAATCGGCCAGTTTCGAAGTTGAACGGTTGCTCGCAGCACAACACTAGGGTCATGTGAAATGCAAGGGGGACCTTCATGGACGTCAACCGGGGCCTGGTAGCTCTGAAAGCTGCTCGGCATCTTCCCACTTTTCATTTTCTAGACAACCGGAGTGTCCTGGTAAACCAGCGACTGTCGACGGAAGGACCAAAGAGATTCTCAATCATCAATTGCAGCTGCCATAGCTTGATGCCCGTCTTTGCACAAGTGACTTATGAGACGCTGAGAAGATACTAACGCGCCACCAATGCGTCTCCAATGTGCCCTGATTGTCCATTTTGTTGCCCCGTCTGAGACTGCAGCAAGGAAATTGAAGAAATTGTTCTTTCTCGCCAGCGTGTAAAACGTTGCGGTCTGACGCTTTTGATACCGAGGCTTTAGAAGCCGGCAGTGTTCCCGAGCCGTTGCTAAATAGCGGCTAGCCTGACGGTCAGTTGGAACGGCAATTTCATTGCGTTTTCACACCTGCCTTTTCCCTCAAACTGGCAGGAAGCTTGCAATCGTAGTGCTCAGGTTTGCCACAGCCAAGCTTGCATGCTGACCTGCGACCCAAGTTCTTGAAAGTTCGAACTCCATGTGGCACAGACGAGCGTCTTTCTGGCATGGCGGGGCATGCGGATAAGTAGCCAAATCTGATGGTGCACAACCTAGGATGATTACCCACCGAGAATCCTGTCCGAGCCTCTTCCTAGCCGGGTGGCTGCCTGTTCAAGAAGCGCGCGCTCGAAGCCGTGGAGTCTCTTTTTCCATGTCACTGTTCGGTGGTACGAGGGGAGGGAAACCAAACCTTGGATCATCTGGACTGGCGGCGAACGCGGCTGTGAGGAAACAAAGGCCGAACTGCCTGCTGCTCCGGGCTGAGAATGCCTGATGAGGTGGCGGTCTGATGACTCCCGTAGAAAGGTCTGAGCCGTCGTTGTTTTGCTTTCCTTTTGCATACTGCTGCTTGACTCGCCTGGAGTGTTCTTGTATGAAAGAAAACCACTTTCCGGTGACCCCACTTTACAGCACGCTTTGACTAGCTCCTTGCTTTTCGTGCCTTGTCTTTTCCTGGCACTATTCTTCGACTGCCTTACTTCAGGAATCTTGCGTGGGACATGCGGAGAACAAATTCATTGGAGTGCTGCCTTTGGTGGTAAACTATCGTGCTCGTGCTCATTATTCCGTCAACTCATACCTGCGTGCGACCAATAGAGGTTTAGGCATACTTTCCAATCGAGTCGATCAAAACAATTAGATGGTGTGATGAGTTGAGTGTTTGGATATCGAAGGGCTGGCTCAACATCGTTCAGTCACCTCTGACCCATTTTAGCACTAGACTTTGATCGTTTCGAGTAAGTGCTGAACAGGATGTGACATTGCCATGTAACGTATCGATCAACAATGCCTCAAATTTTCTTTCGCTTGCTTCTGTCACTGAAGGTCTGCGGGTTGCCTGCTGTTTTGAACTTCACGTGCTGCCTCGAATTTTTGCACATGCTTCAGCTGGCCTCTAAAGCTTGCGCGGGATGGGCGCCCCTGCCAGCCCCCTATGTTGAAAGTGCGTTGAAATCCTTCTTGTCCTTATAATTTTAGAACGGTTAAAATACATGTAGTGGACACAATCAAGATGCAAACAAGAGCCTAAGCTTCAGAGTCAAGAGGCAAGAGTTGCGATGCCTACTGCCATAAGCGGCTGGAAAGGAGTCTCGTTGTAGAGAACTGCCCATAGCGTCGCATCCTTAGCCCTGATTTTGAGCAATTCTGGAGCATTTCAAGCTTGACAGCTTCGTCGAGGGTCTGTATCAGCTGGTAATTTCTTACGTTTTGCTGATGGTGATTCTGAGGCCAGTAGCAAGAGATTTTTAGCCAGTATTGCAGGCTAGCCTCTCTTCAGTCGCCAGTAGCAAGAGATTCTTCCATAGCGCTTGACTTGAAAATGTCTTCTTGGGACTATATTTAACTGAGGAGCTGAAGACACAAGAGTAGTCAAACTCCATATGCTGCGCGAATGGTCTGCAGCCGCCAATGGCCCATGTGAGGGACATTCGGTTGGTCCATGTGCTCAATGTTGGGCCCCTCTGGGTGCGATTTTCTACCATAGCACATTCACAGTTTGGGTTTCCATTTTTTGATGTATGACTCATGTTCATGATTCGATTCATCAGCCACTTGCCCCCCTTCAGCTGACTGTATAGGTACTGGCATGTGACGACTCATGTGACAATCTTACGGGTCTACAAGCACAGCGCGGTTTAATTATATTATCTGCGTTTATATCATAAATCACAACTTACCGTCGTATGGTTGCATTTGCATGTGACCTGGTACAATGCATTCAAGGCAGATCGCCGGCTGCCTCAGTGTCACTTGCAAACATGTGATGTCACATACTGTCGCCGCGGCCGGGCCCGGCATGGACCGATCACCGTCAGCCTGGCGCAGAGCATCACACAAGTAGATGCTTGATCTTGATGCCACAGCGATGGCCATGTGCAATGACGATCATTTAGGGGACTAAAAGTGCTTTAATCCGCCTGGTGCATGTGACCCTCGATTTACGGCACATGAGTAATAAATGCATGTGCCAAGCATCCATGACTGCTACTTGATTCTCAAACCATAGCTACATTGTGTCAATCAATGGAATCAGCTCGTCCAAATTTATTAACTGTCGGAAGCCCGACTGGCATGCCCTGCTGGCCGAGCCGAGCGCGTTCTTGATTGACTATCGGCCACATTCAGCAGACATGGACCGGCAAACTTCACGAGCTAGGCCGGAGTCATGTCTCCCCGTAAACGCTCGTAGGCCGCATTGATCAAAGATCAGTCTCGTCGATTATTTGTTCCCTAGTGCGTGCCCGCATATTGGGCATGAAGTCAAACCTTGTCCCAAAAAGCTTGTTATCACAGACAGCAACCGGATGTATTGAATATGTTGTCTCAAGGAGAATCTGCTGCTCGGTGACTTCTCTTATGCAGGAAGATATCTGAGCTGCTTTACCCCAAGCACTATTGACGCGATGCCAAGACCCCAGAATGCAAACCAATGGAACGAACCCCTGTGACGATTGTTGGGGTTGCCCGTATAGTACCTGCAAAAACGCGAGCAAGCTTTCAACGCTGGTACTACAAGAGAACGCCTTAAGAGAATCCATCTCCTGGGTATGGCCGTCGCATATGCTCTTTCACGTATACCAGATTAGTCGCGGTCTGACCCGCACATTCAATTATGCAGAATGTGGCGGCAGCTACACGCGATGGAAGCTCTTAATCCGCGTTACGAGCCAAACGGCTCACCGGCATACCCCATATCTTTCTGTGGCTCGAGGGGCACCAGTCTCTATTGTAAAGTACGTATGGCAAACACTCGACGACTTGAGACAAAAGCTTGCTGGTGCCGAGCCTTGAGACGATCTAAGCGATGATGAGGATTCCACAACACACTCGGGACCATCGGTTCGACTTTTGCTATTAGCAAACTAGGAACACACCAAAAAAAGACGCACTATCGCCTCAATCTCCATCGACCCGTGAAGTCTATTGAGATCGGACGAACAAAAGAACAAGCGCTGCATAGCAAGCACAGCCGAAGCAAAGACATGCGACATGTATTTTTGGCTCACCCTAGTGAGTAGAACAGGCGACCAATAATCCAAACAGCTCCAAGCCTGCAGTTCAATTAAAGACCAAGTCATCAGCAGAAGGAGGACTTCGACGACCGCCAGAGAGTAGACAGAAGCCAACCATCGTCTGGACGAGCGTTCGCAAGTTCAATCCATCAATCTCAAAAGCGGGCAGCATAATGCCAAAGGCCTCAGATATAGAAGTCTTTCAAGCAGCAAGACTCTTTTTGGCCCGTCACTCCGTTGGAAAAGACCTACATGCGGCTTCAATGGATGGCATCAGAGGTGCCGAGAAAAGAGCTTAACTTTGTGTGAGCACTTGATTAGAACGGAGACCGTCATAAGGAGAGGATTCTTCAACGGAGGCAGTGTCAGTCAGTTGGTTTTCTAACGTGACTCTTAACATTTTTCAAGCAATGTTCATTGCAAGTCTTCTTGAACCGAAGGTGAGACTTTTGGCTACCCGCCGCACTTCGTCACTTCGTCACTTCTAGAAAGCATCTAACGACCTTACGAACAGACCACGTGGCCGACAAGGAGACGTATTTTGGCGACAGAACCGAGACCGGGTCTCGTAGACAGACTTACACGCTGGCCGTGATCGGGTATGCGGACCCAGAGAGGAGTAGGAAGGCCAGGAAAGCCGGATACGACTCTAGGGTGTTTTGATGAGCGCGCTGGTAGCAGTTGAAGACAGAGTCCTCTTTGTCCTCGTAGATCTGCACCAAAGAAGGATTGCTTCGGCTTCGACGATAGATAATTGAAGGAGCCTGATAACGTTTGCTCTGCGCCGTCGATCTTGAAAGGGTCCAAGTCTCGTTCATGAGGAGAAGTGAGTCGTCACTTCGATGATGGCCATGAAGAGATACACAGTCCAAACGGACGATGCAAACGGAAAGTCGCTTGCTCCTCCAAGGAGCTCTATTCTCTACCAATCTGCCAACTCTTGAAGTTCTTCGTAGACTTAACGGAGTAGACAGTAGTACTTCAAATCGCCTCAAAGTAGGTCGATCAGTGGTGGGACGACTAACTCACCGCAGGATAAACAACCCCCGACTTCCTCCTTTGCTGCGCCACCTGCAACACAAGTATCAGTGGGTTTTTTATCAGGGGCTCCGGGTTCAGAAGAGCGTTGCTAAAAGCAGATGGCCAAAACATGGCTGTCTTGCTCTTCGCCCAACAAAATCTGACTCTCTGTCAAGTTCAAAGTGAGGTTCAGAGTTGGAAGAGTTGGAAGCGTCTGACCATCTTATGGCATACGATTGATGTACGGTTGCTGCCACTGAAGTCTTGGACGCGGGGCTCGCTTGTCAAGCCGTTTGAAATGAGTCCCCCAGAAAGTTAAAGCTGGGCCCGAAAACAGCGAGTCTGATCATATCTCCATATCTGACTCTCCGAAGGTGGACACGGAGCTCAAAAAACATCGAGAGGTTAAGAAAGGAGACGGCTTTGTAAAGAAAGAGAGCGAAAGCAAACCTGGAACATTTGCCACTGCACAAGCATCAAGCTGGCTGCGGCCGTCAACGCCACTGCAAAAGGGAACGGAACTCAGTCGAGCTGACCATGCTTTGAGCAACGGGCTTCATCAGGGAAACATCTCATCATAATATCGGAGATAGACTGCCTCAGAAGAATGGTTGATTGCAACTAATCGGGCAACAAAGGAGGGATCAAACAAAAGTGGATGTGGCTGGAGCTTTTTTCAGCTTCAGAGGGGTTGTCTCTGTACAATCCAGGTTGATCTCGTCTTAACGTAGTATATATCAATGTTCCAAGGCATATCACTAAGTCTCACAGATCTTACCATATCCGAAAGCTGGTGGAAGGAAAGGAATGGCCGCTGTGACGCGCGCCGCTGAGACGGGCCTGCACCTGCGGGCAGAAGGTTTGGGGAGCTAAGACCACGACTCTCCTTTCCAGTCTTGTCACTCGCTGTCATACTGACTTCTTTAGAAATCATAAACTTGGTCTGTCTGGTAGAAAGCCTGTTACGACCTGACCAACATAGCTTCTAGAACCTAAAACATGGTCTTTCAAAGACTCTCATCAACTTGGCTCCAAACGGCGTTTTCTTCTTTGCATGCGAGCTAAGGTGATTCTCTCGGATTAGAAAATTACAAAGATCATCAAAATCGAAACTCTGCCATGTCATGAATGCCCATAAAGTAACAGCATCGCCAGGATATTGCCAGGAAGAGCTTTGTGTTTGGGGACTCTTTCCTTAGAAACTGTACCCAGCTTCGCTAACAACTGGGCACCTAAAGTGCGCTTCGTAACGAGCTTTCTTGCCTAGATGGAATTGTCTTTCAGGGCAAGTAGATGGTACACTTGATATGGCGGTATCTGCGATGATTTGGAAGCACTTTCCAGCCGCTTGCTGTTAATACCCCCTTACAAGCTTTTCAAACAGCCAGGACGATTGGAGCCGGTTTCATCAGTAACTGAGGACCATCTGATCCAGGTTCTTTGGCCAGCATTAAGAGAAGCCAAACTAGGTACCACCACTTTCATGGATCAGGTAATACCCCTCCCATCACTTTCTTATTAGTAGAGTATATTGCACTTTTAGACAATTCAATGAGAAGAGAAACTGGGGAACACTAAGCCAATTCCGACCTTGTGACTTCTGACTGATCTAAGCTGAGATGGACCACCAAGCTGATCTTCAATCAAGTTTCTTCAGCGAGGATAATCTTACAACAGAGCTCACTTACCTTCTTTGGAGGGGTCTGAATCTGTTTAGTTCAGAGGGATCTGAACGCAGACCTCCGATTGCGCCTAGCCCAAGGCCTGCTGGCCTCTTGTTTGCAGAGCACAATTGCCTGCAGCTAGGCACCGCGCTTCTAGCTTGGAGGAATGTGATCGGTTGGGGAGCACTGCTGCCATTTCGATCAAAAGATGAATTTGCAGGGGCAGTCAGCTGGGATGCAGAGAGACTGGTTTTGATGCAAGCGGCAGCCATGACGTCTGAATGCAGCTCCTAGAATGTGCAACCTGCTGAATAAACTTCACAACAGGTTCACAAATGGAACACCAGCTCCGAGCTCTCTTCAAAGTTCAAGTTCAACTCGATCGAATGCAAATTGTAAGTTTGCTGCAAAGCATGCATGCAGAACCCAGGCAGAACCCCAGGCAGAACCCCAGGCAGAACCTCTTGAATTAGGGTTTTTTAGAATCAACGTGAAGGACGCACATTTTGAAGTTGAATGCATAGCACAATTGCTTGAAGATGAAGCAAATTCAGCTCGAAAGCTCTGAAGAACTAAAATTCGTGCGCTAAGTATCTGCGTCCTATCTGGGGTGCATTGCAGCCTATCCACTTTGTATGCCTCAATTGATTGCAAGCCGCTGATAAGAGTCAAAGCGGAGCGGCTTCCTGAGCAGGATGGGCCGAACACGGCTGTTGAGGACAGCACACGATGTGGCATGCAAGCTGTTGCATAAGCAGGGCTTCGATGCTCGTTGCTTGGGCGGGACCAATGTAGAAGGGGCCTCGCTTCTAACCAAGCAAGTCACACCAACTGTAGATTGCGCATTTGTTGGGTCTCAATGGTCTTCCGCAGGCTTAGTAGAGGCTCCCAATGCAGTCACAACCAGCACAACTTTGAACAGCTTTTCAAGAAACTCTAGTGGGGTGGCATCAACAGCTGAGCCGCTTTCGCACCACCTTCCAAACAGCACCGGCCTTTTCCCCAACTCTGCAATCCATGCGGCGTCCCCAATGTGGCTGCAATCAGCTCCCAATCAGGCCCTCTTTCGGGGCTCATCGAGCACCTTCTATCCCATTCGCAGCCCCCGGCTTTTCAGCACAGGCAGACTTCCATCTGACACTGATCAGACTGAGGCAGAGGATGCTGAAGGAGGGGACGATGGCGAGTTCTGGGATCGTGAAGTCGATGATGTCAGCAACTTGTATGAAACAATCCTCGCTGAAATCGTCGACGACGGCAGGGTGGGCATCATCACAATCAACCGGCCGGAAGTGCTCAATGCGCTGTCCACCCAAGTGATGGATGAGCTGGCGGATGTGCTTCAGGAGCTTGACGCAGACCCCAGGGTTAAGGTATGCACAGTGATTGGCCCACAGGGAGAGGAGACTGACTTCCTCGAAACATTCTCTCCTTGTTGCCCTTTTGTGTGTCCGCGGCCCCAAGGGCTTGCTTTTCCAAATACTTCCTCGCCAATGTTCTCCTGCTTCATGCCTAAATTAATCCTTGTTTCGTCGACACCGCCAGCAATGAGCGGATTGACGCTGGCTAAAAGGCCTCTTGCCTTTAAATTGATACTTCACCCACTGATCTGGGTCCATATTAGCAAAAGGACTTACCTTGAGCACTTGCCCATAGTGTAGAGTACCTTTGAGAAGACTCGCTGATCAAAAACCATTGCCTTTGGTGAGGGTCAATTGTCTTCAAGACTCCCTTCGACTGGAATCTGCTGCCTTCTCTTGAGGCCATCATGGTGACCGTCACTTGCAAGAAAGCCCTTCTCGGAATAATCTATACTTGCCTTTCACAGCAGGAGAGATTGCTGAGTACTGTGTTCCTCAAAGAGTGGACAACCCAGAAAGAAAGTAATTATGCAACGCTCTCCTCTTCATCACATTGTTTCTACTTTCTCCTCTTCCACTCGCAGGCAACATTTCTGGCTAAAGAAGGCCTGCTCGAAACCAGCTCAGCGAACCCTGTGCTCTAGCTTTTATGTATATGATTTTCCTCAAGTGATCATGCTTACCTGCTAAACAAAGGGGCCCCTTGCAAGTTTTCTCTGAATTTTCTTATTTTTCGTTTTGAAGCGCAAAGCACTAACCTGCATCTTGAGATTTCTCCCTCTTCTCCACAGGCAACCAAAGTAGGTAGCTTCTAAACGAAGCCCAGTTTTTGAACTACAATCTTGAGCTTCTTCTTTTCCATGCGTTTATCTCAGCCCGTCATTGTCCTGGCGCGCCGCGCTTCTTGTTCGCTTACACCAACTCTTTCTTCCTTTGTAGAACTTTCTTACGAGACACATAAATGTTAAACACACCCACACATCTCCCTCCCTGTTCTCCAGGCCATCATTTTGACCGGTTCCGGCAAGAAGGCCTTTGCCGCGGGCGCCGACATCAAGGAGATGCGGGACCAAGAGTTTGTGACTGCGTATCTCGGACGCCTTCTGTCCGGGTACGAGAGAGCAACGTCCGAATGCCGGACCCCAATCATCGCTGCGGTCAATGGATACGCGCTCGGCGGGGGCTGCGAGCTTGCGATGATGTGTGACATCATCCTGGCTGGGGAGAACGCGGTGTTTGGGCAGCCGGAGACGAACCTGGGAGTTATCCCCGGGATGGGGGGCACGCAGAGGCTCATCAGGTCAGGGGTGATGCGGCACGTAGTTTTTTACTTGAAGCAAATATCGTTCTCTATGTTCCGCTACTACAGAACAAGTTTCTGAGGCCCATTTCGAGAAATCGATGCCCCTCGCACTACTTGATGCCTTCTTTGCTTTTACATGTCGTTCGTGAAAGCCTCGTCCAGTCATGCGCTGTTCAAGGGACTCCGTACTACTCTCAACCTCGGCTGCAACATCCTTAAAACGAATCTTGGCATCGGTGCCTCTCTGTCATTTTCGAATCTTCCGAACTGCCTTGGGCAAGTCTCGGGCTCATCTCGAAGCTTTTTACATTTCCGATTTGTCAGTCAGTGAGTGACGGCCAGTTTGAAGGACGTTCAGACGTTTCTCCAACGTTTTTTACAGCAGATTCGGTAGCAGATTCGAGTTCCCAAACTTCATCATCCTTGAGTTCGCTGATCCAAGGGCCCTAAGCGAGTCCCGTCCGGGGCGCACTTGATTGACGCCGAGGAACGACTGGTGGGGTTTGGTTTCCATAAGTGCGTCTGAGGAATCCCGCAATTTTTTAAGCGGCCCCGGGTTGAGTCGTGCAGGGCGGTGGGCAAGTCCCGGGCCATGGAAATGATCCTGTCCGGGGCGCACTTTATCGATGCCGAGGAGGCCGTGTCGCGGGGGCTCGCCAGCCGGGTTATCACGGGGGGCCCCGAAAAGCTGATTGAGGCGGCCATCGATCTTGCGAAGCAGATTGCGAGGTGAGAGGCTGCGAGGAACTTCTTTTACGTCTGTCTCGCAGACTGGCCGATCTGAACCTGTGACTCTTGTGACTCTTGTTCAAGATGGTATATGCTATTTATATTCGTTGCAGCAAAATTTCGCGTCCGTTTGTATTGAGTTACGAGACCTTTTGCATGCCCCCCTTGAGCGAAGTGAAAGGCTGCATCTGATTTACGTTGACTTCCGTCTTCTGTTGTGAAATTCAATGGGAAGTTGATGGAGATCGTCAGTATGAGCGTTTACATTTCTTACTTGTGCTAAAATTTGCACCTGGGGGCTTGCGGATGTGCTCGCTCGACAAGAATTGTACAACGACAGTGCTTCTCAGCAAACTAGATATGTGTACGGGTTTTGATAGCCAACACTTTGGGTCGGCCTTGCATTTGCTCGTTTTGTTTCATCTGTTACGCTTCGGATGTCTTATATAGCTATAAGTTTTGCGGCAAGCCAGAAGCGCAAATGTCTGTTCCTCTACATGAATGTCAGACTTGACCGCTCAAGTTTTCCGGCATTCGGCAAAATGTCGAACGGAAAGTTGAGGACGGTGGATGAACAAAATTAAAAAGCCTGACGAGACAAACGCGGAGAGGGTCCCCGTTATGATGCCGGAACAATGAATTCGAAGGGTCAGGCGGGCATGTCGATGCTTTGAGCAAGCCCGCGCAGATGCTGCTCGTTCATGAAGCCAATCTTATAAATCGTGCAGGTTATCAGGCCCCGTGGTGGCTATGGCCAAGGAAGCTGTGAACAGCGCTAATGACTTAGGGCTCTCCGAAGGGGTCAAGAAAGAAAACCTTTTCTTCAGCGCGTGCTTTGGATTGTACGACCAGAAAGAGGGCATGTCTGCATTCCTGGAGAAGCGAAAGGCCCGCTTTGAAAATAGGTGATGGAGCGGGTCCAGCTATGTGTACAGGGTGTGTAAAGAATTTTCATGTAACGTAGCAGGAATGACGATCCTCGACCGTCTTGTTATCACAACCAGGACAGTGAGTCACACTGAACTTGTCGGACGACAATACGATAATCTGTAACGGGTAATGCACGGTCAAGTGGCTGATAGATTGAAAGGCAGTGCGATCTGCGCCCACAGCCTGGCCTCCGCATGTTCGAAATCCGTTTACCTTGACCTTTCCGCGTTTTGTTGAGTCCTTGCTGTCAACGAAGCACATTGGTAACGTGCATGATGTATCCTAATGAGGCTATTACTGGTAGGACAATTTCCGCCAAGGTATCATTGATAGCAGGGTGCTCGCGCACAGAACTTGAGACGTCGATCGGATCTGGGAATACAAAATGCGAAACTGTATGCCAATGGAGAAGACTTTTTAACCTATTATGGCTGCACTGCTCCACTGCCTAGTACGGGCCACGGCGTAATATGAAACCGAGGGGACCATCATACAACTGGGCACGTACTGCATACGGTATAGCGGCCGATTGCTTTAAATTGTAGTACTGGTCGATGTCGATGAGTAGGCGGCATATGCGGGCTGCACAATTCAAAACGAGTAAGGGGCCTTACCGCCGTACGTCAGATGACTTCACAATGTGATTCAACGGTTGCGATCGACGCAGAGTCCTCCCGCTTAAACAAACACCCATGGAGTTCAACAGGGGGTAGATTATGGACTCAATAGTTCCCCCTTCACATACGTCAAAACTCCAATCGACGGTCCTCCGAAATCTACGTGGCCTGACGCCAAATCACGTGCACAAATGAACTGGCTGGCCATGGTTGCCATAAAGTGAGGAAGGGGAACCCTGACTCCTGAAAGTCCGAGTTTTGACTCCTGACTCCTGAGGCTGCAGCCAGCCTGCAGCGTCACGCCCGCGGTGTGGCACGCGCAGGAAAGAACGGTGGTCGCCCCGCACCGTTCTGGTCAGCCACATGAAAATTGAAATGTGGTAATTCTAAAAGGTCACTGGTATCATCTTCCTGCGGCTATTATCCTTTTCCAGAGCCTCAGAGGTTGAGGCGACTGCGTGTGTAGGGTCGAAGAGGAGCTCCTTTGGGAGACACGCAGCTCAAAATGGAGCCGCACGCATGGTTCTCTGCTGCCCTTCTTTGTCTCCTTTTGCTCTGCCAACTTTGTTCAGGCCAGTTCGTAACAGCCCCCGCGGCCGCCCCCGGCCCAGCCTCTGTTGCTCCTCCAGCTACTCTTTCTGGGGGCGCGTTAACCCTGCCCAAGGTGCAGCAGTTAACACCCGGAGTGTTATCAACAGTGCAGAACGTCACTTTCAACACACTTAGCTTCTTCTACTTTGTGCTCCCTAACGCGACAGTGGACATCAGCGTCAAGTTGATTCAATACCAGGGGGACGCGGATTTGTACATCGTGGAGCCGCAAAACCCAACGCCGTTCTCAAACAACGGCTTTGAGGTGAGGAAATGTTTACCTTGTCCTTGTTTGCACCTCTGCTGCTTTCTGCGGAGATCTTCAGGCAGGGATGCTGGTTGTCTGTGCTCGTGCTTGAGATCTTCAGCTTTGTGTCATGCTTCTAGAGCGCAGCGAAAGCAGTTGTTTACAGTGTCTTCAAAAGAATGTGGGAGAAGAACTCACGATAAATGTGGAAGGATGCGACGAACTTAGTCAGCTGCTTGTGTCAATGCTGACTCTATTTCGAGGTTCAGGTGGTAATTGCAGTTGGTATTGAGATCTTGATAACATGAAAGTGTGCAATGCTGCCAACTGGTAACTGCTGTCTAGAGGAAGTCTGTAGTTGATTCAGCTTTTGCTAGCTTGCGAAGCCACTTCTGTTTTCGTTCGTTATTTCCTCCATCAGCATTCTTTATTCAGCATCATTTTCAAAAGAGCATGCTCCAAACACGCTGATTTTCCACGTGGCTTAAGTATTCTAAGAGGCGAGATGTGTGGAAAAGATGAAGAAGTTGTAGCTTTGCTACGCTAAGAGTCTCAGTTACATTACCGAATCCGCTTCCGTGTGAAAAACTCCTCAGTATGTAGTGTGGCCCATCGTACACGGTTTGTGTACACGGGCAAATGAGACATTGTATTTTGCAAAGATCTGGAGGCGTGTATGCCGACATTCAGGGGCCAGGGAGCGGAAGAGCTGGGGCGAAAGAACGAAGGCGCCTTGCCCTTGAAAGTATTCAAGTATAGAAAGAGCTACTGTAGTTTGGTGTGCCTTTCCTTGCCTTGAAGGGATCCCTGCATCGTTCGGATTTCACGTCCTCGGTTCACCAAAGAGAAGAGCTGCTTTATACAACTTTGGTCGAGGAATTGAAGCAGAACACTACGTAGTTTGCCACAGAAGCACCTTCTGTTAACAGGGCACCGCCCCAACTGGTCACTTGAGTTTTGGACGCCTGACATGACTCCCTTGTGCATATAAGGTTCACTTCCCCAGACAACAAACACGACTGTTGTCATAATGTGGGGCACTCCCCTCCACAGAAGTCCAGCTAAGTACAATCTTCCTTCTTCCGACCGCATAAGCCTGCGGTGCTTGCATCATCAAAGGCCCCATGAAGAGAATACCTCGTAGTCCCAAACCCTAAACTTGGTCCTGGCCAAACCCCAAAACCCTATTTCCTTTCCAAACCCCGCAGCAAAATGGGTGGGCCTCGACCACAGCTCAGAATGAGTCCATCTTCATCCCGCGCTCCGACCCGTTCTACTCAACCGGGTCGTACTCGGTCGGAGTCCAGGGCTACGCAAAGGGGGTCTCGCAGTTCCAGCTGCTCGTGACGTTCACCGCTCAGAGCCGCGTGCTAGTGGCCGCTCAGAAGGCAGCTCTTCAGAGCATGTTAACCACGTGCTGTGCGAATGTAACGGCAGGCGCGTGCGAAAATTTCCTCGCAGTGGGGGGGATCGATCTCACGGGCGTGATTGCGACTGAGCTGTGCGAGGTGCCGGGGTGGGAGTGCACGATTGACGGGCAGCTCGAGGTTGCGTAAGTCGTTTGGCTCAACTTCTCTGCACGTGCTTACGGTGGCCTCGGTCAAGGTTAACCTGGTGAGGTAAACCTGGTGAAAACTCCAGAAATTCTGTCGAGGTAACCGGCGGATTGATCAGGGAGTGCTCGCTGGACCGCAAGCTCATGTGTTAAGGGAAGCCTGAATCAGGGTGACCTACTACAGATCTTGGAATAATGTGCATGAGTCGAGTGGAAGCGAGCACGGGAAAGCAAGTTTCAGTTGTGTGGGGAGTTTCTGTCTAGACGCATCCGGTCAATAATAAAGGGAAAGGTAAACTACAGTAGGGGCAATAAAGTGCCAACCGTGGGTGACTTCTTGCAGCCCCACATTTTGAGCAGCTTTTGTTTGTGATGACTGTGACGCTTCAATTGTTGGTTATGTTGTTGAAGAGGGACAAGCATTTCCTGGACTCAGATTGCGGGTCCCAATGGACAATCATCTAGAGCTGCAGGTTTTGTCAAGCTTCTGGCCTCTTGAATAATTGCAATTTGCATCGTCCACTGAAAATATAAGACTTCAGGCCGTTGGATGACCAGGAGGCAACAATTGGACGGCTTGTTTTCTCTGTGATCGGCCCTCATTGAAATGTAGGACAGGCCGAAAGACGTAACAAATTCACCGCTCCTTTATTGAAAGGGCTCGTCAACCAATCGGTGCTATCTGCTTATTTACATCACCGTTTCCTGCAGCGACTTCTCCCAATACGGGCTTACGTGCCCGTTCCCCTGGTCGATTCTGGAGAGCCTGCCGTCACTTGAGGTCCTTCGGCTCAGCAACAATAGCTTGTCTGGCACTGTGGATTGGCTTCAGCTGGCTAGGCTTCCCAACCTCCAGGTATGTGACTGGGGGACGCTTAGTCGTTTGCGGTAGGCTTGGTTGCTGAAAATGTGCGGAAGGCGAAGCCTGAGCCGATGATGGTCTTGCAATTTCGTTGTCTAGTCAGGAAGAGCGATCTCTGTGAGAAGCAGTTGAAACCGAAAGCCAAGGGGAACGGGTACCACAAGTGTACTTAGATTCGCAAAGGGATGTAGACCCAAATTAGTGCTAATCGAATCCCGTAGTCTAGAGTGCGTGGTTTCATTACAGGTTAGCTTTGAATTCCCTGTCACTGAGTACGTATGTTTGGGGTTTCATGTTTGCCTTGGGAAGCAGCAGAAACGAGTTAGAGGGGGCCATCGGCATGCATTTCTGAACGGTTTCTAAGCAGAGCATATCGCTGCCACCGTAGAATGACCTTTCTGCGAACCGTCCTTTCTCCATCCACTTCCTGCCAATAACCCTCTGACCATGATCACCAGTTCGTGTTGGAGAATGGACGTTGTCCAAGGGCAGATCCCCTCTCTGGTTCAGGCTCCAGTCCTTCAGTTTATCTCCTCCTTTTCCAAGTGGAGTCTTCAGTGAATCCGTGGAAAGGCATTCCCTCGGTCTTCACTGGACCCGGACACGTTGTTGCTTTCCAGCTTGACATTTGCTAACGAAGGCTTACCATTGGGGCAGACGTCAACGTCAGCACCGGTCACCGTTTAGCAGTGTTTTGTGCTCGGAGCACAATCGGAGACAGTTGTCTTCTGAGGACGGAAGAGCAGAGCGAACTGCTAAGCAGTCGCGCGGTGACGTCATGCAGATGCGTCGAATACGTCCGCTTTTCACTGGTTCGTAACCTTGAAAAGCCCATGAAAAGTTGCAGTAACCGGAAGTTAGTCCGTCCCGTACAGGTCCTGACTCTCGACCTGAACCAGTTCACGGGTACCGTAACCTGCGACCTCGCAACCCCCGGCACGCCCCTCCTGGAGTTCAACGTTGCTACAAACAATGTGAGCGCGCCGTCCAAAGTCAAACTATGTTTGGAGTAAGGAGTCTGCTCTGGGTGTTCGGACGTGGCTCATCGTTCGATCAACAAAAGGACTTGCGGTCTTGGCTTACTGCTGGTATCTGACTTGCCCATCTTAGTTTCCTCAAAATTGAAACTGGCCCTGCGACTACGTCGAACAAGTCGTCCGGAATTGGGAAGCGCTGGATCTGCTCGTGCAGTCGAATAGCCCTGCATCTAGTGTCAACAGATTTGTCGAATTGTGGCACGCGCCTCCAGGCTCAGCTTAGACTTTGTCGTGTGACATGGCGTACAAGATTGGCACGCTGCCTGGACTGCAAAGAGCCTTCAAGTGAGGTGCGGGTTCGGACTTGGCAGTTAGCAAATGCCGAGACTGGTGCCCCTGACATCGGATTTTGATGCTCTGGACGGGCAAAGCCGAATTGGTTTTAGAATCGGCAGACTCGATCTACGGGTAGCTGGAGCTCGTCGCTTTCGAAAATTCAGAGGTACCACCAGGTGACGAGCCGCTCGTGGCGCATCACACAAGCGCTTTTGCGGCCACAGATTGTATCCGTTGGTCAAGTTACAACCCGAGTATCTCTGTCCGAATCGTCATTGATCGACCATAGCGGCCGTTTTCTCCCGGCTCTTGGAGTACGCCTGACCGACTGATTTGGCGCCCTTTATGTCCCCACCACTGGTGAAAGTGAGTTTCATATGACCGTTTCTTGCTCTGCAGTTCAATGGGACCCTGCCGGCCTGCTACGCACAGAAACCGGAGATGCGGGTCCTTTGGTATAACAACAACATGTGAGCGAGCCCTCGACCGTTTGCTGCAGTCGCAGGGACCTAGGGTGGCATGATCCTTGATCTGAGACTCACAGGTCCAGCGATTCTGGATGCCATGTGTAGTCTGACTTCAAGCACTTTCGAAGGTTCCAGTGTAGAATACATGAAGTCTGCCACTTCTGGCGCCCACAGCTCGTGCAACGGGGACGTGACGCTGGGCGGGTGATAGCTATTAGGGATGGAGAATAGAAATGTCGATTGACTTTTGTAGCTTGGTACGTCCAGCTGGATGCGCAGAGTCGAGGCCAGGAAAGGCTGATAGGGCCAGTGTTGGCTCAATCGTCTTTTCTAAGTAAGATTCAAACTGGTGCAGGTTTACGGGACCTCTGCCGGCCACGATTCCCGCCAACTCCGAGCTCCGGAGCTTCCACGCGGCGAATGCTGGCGTCACCGGCACGCTCACTGCGGACTTTGGGCTCCCAACCAACCTGCAAGTGCTGGAGCTATCGCAGAACTACATCACGGGGACCATTCCAGATGGGATTGTCGGGCCGCGCTTGGACTCGCTTCTCTTGAACAACAACCGGTGAGTTGCTCGCGTTCTAGAGCTGTCTGCGGTGCATTTGCCATCGGGTTTCGATCTCTCTAAGCTCGGTTCCTGGTCGTGAGCCGTTCGACAGCTCCTCTGTCGTCAATCGGACGGCGCACGAAGTATCCTTGCAGCATTCGGAACCTGATGGCAGATTGGCACTAAGAGCTATAGATGTTCAGGGGTGACAGGAAACCATTACAATTCATTGGAGTATTAGCGAAACAGGGCGTATTGGTGTGTGCTTGTCGACTTCTACCGTGGACGATGTTCTTGTTCGTGAATCCTCGCCAATTCCTGGCCCTTTTTTGGCATTGGTTTCTATTTACTGGTGAGGTGTCCCGATGCAAACCTTTCCCGAAGGCTTTCTGCTCCGCAGTTTATGGGACGACCGACAACCGAGTCCTCGATTCTATCTAGTTCCTCCAGGGGGTGAAATTGAACCTACAAATCAAGCTCGTACTAGGCCTAGGTGGCGGCTGAAAAGGGGTTGTTTTCTGCAGTTTGACGGGTCCGGTCCCCACGTCCCTGACCACATCTCCTCAACTCCGCACGCTGTTCCTAAACAACAACCAGCTGACAGGTGGCATCGCCGACTTCGCAAACGCGCCGGTTCTCCAGCAAATGTAGTAAGTACCGGCTCCTTCGGTTGGTCTCCTCTGTTACGTGCACCCTCAAAGCAATGGTGTTCTGAAGCGCAAGGGTCTGTTTTGCCAAGCAGCGGCACTTTCTCTTATCCAAGTCCCTGAGAAGTCTTGAGGTCTTGCACGTTTACTCAGCTTCTTTCTCATCCCTCTTCTTCAGATTGACCCGTACCAAATGTTGGTAATGATTCGCAAGCGCTGTGCTCAGATGTTTGGCCCTCAGAAGCTTATCTCAGTTCGTCTCCGTAGGCTGGACGGGGTCCTCGCTTCGCCCTCGCAAAGCGATTGGCGGAACCGATCCACAACAGTTGTGCTGACCCTGTTTCATGCTTCTTTTTGTTCGGAGCAATCAGTTCACAACTTGAACCGGTTTTGAATTCATAAGAGGCTTTGCGCTGGATTATGGTGCAAAGCAAGTCAACAGTGTGAATTTGGGCGTTCATAATCATCGTTTTTTAGAAAGCCCACAGTAATTAACATTGCCTTTTCTCACCTCCAACCAGCCTGGAAGTGAACAACTTCACCGGCGCCTTCCCCCAAGTCTGGAACACGCCCAACCTCATCTCTCTCGAGGCCAGCAACAACTTCCTCTCCGGGGGGATCCCCCTCAGCCTGCTGACGCTGCCCAACCTGTTTGCATTCGCGGCCGCGAACAACCTCCTGAGCGGTTCGCTCCCGGATCTGGGCACCGCAACTAGCGCGGTGAGAATTTTCAACGTGACGAGCAACCAGCTGACGGGGCCCATCCCGGCGACCTACTCGACGCTGCCCGTGTTCGACACGCGCTCCGCGAAGCTGGACCCGAACACGGGGAACATTCTTTCTCAGGTGAGCATGCGCTTGAGTCTCGTTGTGTGCCCAGATTGAGTTATTTGCTGGCTTGAATGACCTCCTTTCGGAAGAAATTGCTCGCATTGCGTAAATCGCTCGATACTACCGGGCCTTGTGTTGGTTGCCTGTTTGGAATGACTTCCTTCTAAGAAACTGCTCGCATTCTGCGTCAATCAGTGTCCCGGGATCGGCAGCGGTGTCTTCATTGTCCTGAGCAGCGCGATCCCCTCGTTCGTGGTTTGCCAACTACTGTTAGCTTGCGTGGATTATTTCTACTTCACCGTAAACTGATTGTGCCTAAGGTTTCGTTGACTTCCTTGTGCATCTTAGTAACGAAACGTGGGCAGCGAGTTGCCTTTTTCACAATCATTTTCAGTCCAAAGAACAAAAGATTTGCTATAAGGACTTGATCTTTCAAAGAGTTGCTAACAGAGTGTGGTTAACGGCGGGTTTCGTGCAGATTTACATTGCCTGTCACAACACCCTTAGCGGCACCATCCCGTCTTTCTTCGAGGCGAATGCCTGCCCGCCTGGGCGTTACTTAGCGAGTCCTCTTCCTTTTCTTACGCTGACCTACCGTGGTATTGGTGGTTCTCGTGCAGATCTTCGACGCCAGTTACAACATTTTATCGGGCAGCGTTCACTTTTTCTTCGAGTCGTCCCGTTAGTCAGCGAGTCCTCGCGTTTTTATTGCGCTAACCAACCGTGGTTAACGGCGAGTTTTCGTACACATATTCGTTGGTCAGCGAGTCCTCTCTCTTTTCAAACGCGAACCGACCGTGGTTAATGGCGGGTTTCGTGCAGATCTTCGACGCCAGCTACAACATCCTCAGCGGCACCGTCCCGTCTTTCTTCGAGGCGACCCGCCTCCCCGCCTGGACCTTCGTCGACCTCGCAGGGAACCAGCTGACGTGCAACGGCACCAGCACCAAAATTGCAAACGTCGCGTGCGGGGTGCCTGCGGGGTGGGTCAATTTGACACTTCTATTGTTATTTGTGATACTGCCGATTGTTATCTTCAATTCTCTAATAGTTCCTTATGTCTAATATTCCTTCGGTTATCATATCCATTACTTCTATGGTATTAGGAGCATACCAGGTTCCGGGGTAGGAGAGGACCAGAAATTGATGCTTTGCCTGTCATTCGTGTTTTGCGGGGTGTCTGCAGATTGCGTCGTCATGGGCGCTTTGTGTTCTGTCTTTTAGTGCCTCCTATATATTGAGCCCTCTCTGACGGCCTATGATTGTGGTTGCCAGAACTCTTCAGCCATGTTCCTGCAACCTTTCAAACCGTTTGGGCTCCTTTCACTGTTTGCTTGGTATGCTTCGGTTGCAAATCATCTTCTTGCTGATTGTCTGTGGGCGAACTGGGCCGTGCCCACGTTGGGGACTATCTCGATGCCGCTTGTCAAGATTGTCTCTCTGCTCAGAATCTCGTCTGGTCACAGAGGTCCGGTGAGCCGCCGCGGGCGCTTGATCATTGTGCGCGTCGGTTTTCTGCATTTTGCTCAGCCCCGAATTCTACATGGAAGCCGTTCACAAGCCTTTTGTGCGGCGCTCTGTCGCCTCATACCCTTCCCATCAAATCCCGCAGCCTGGATCCAAGACGTTGCGAGACACTGCTCACCGCAAGCTTTGTCCACTGAACTGTTCCGATGCTTGCCTGCAGCGTATCCACCGGGGGATCCCCCGGCCCCTACGCAAACAAGGGCCCTGCCTCGAGCGCGGGCGCCCCGGTCCCCACTCCCGTGCCCGGTGTTGTCGGCATCAACCCCGTTGTCGAAACGCCGAGCCCCTCGACGGCGGCGGCCGCGGCCGCGGCCTTGGCTGGTGGATCGACGACTTCTAGTGCAGTCCCTGTGGTAAATAGTGACGGCGGGGGGAGTAGCGGGCTTTCCACGGGGGCGATTGTCGGAATTGTGGTCGGGATCCTAGTGGGCGTAATTGCGGTCGTGGCGTTGGCCGTGTTTGCGGTGGCGCGTGTCACGCGCCAGCGGCGCGAGTCCGTGTCGGCCAAGAGCTTCAAGCGGTTTGCGTCCATGGACGCGGAGCCGGTGTGATAACGTGCTAGCTAGAAAGTCGAAATCGATTTAGTACAGCTTGAAGTTTTTGACTAATCTTCGAGGATGGGCCTCATGGTCAATGATGCATTGCTAGCGAGCTGCTAGCTGCATGTGCAATCGGGTTCAAGGACCACAAGAAGGAGGACCACGAGTTTTCTTAACCTTAATTTAGCCACGTGTCCATGTCAAAGGAAAACAAACTAGGTATACAGTCGTACATAGTTCTCCGGCCATGAGCTCATGTGCAAGGATCGAACGTCAAGTCGCTGGTTTACTCTCGTCTACGCCTTCGAGTGCGGACTACGCTTGATTTTCCGGACACCCAAGAGGCATGAGGACAGGCTAGCAAGTCAATAATCAGTTCTAGTCATTCTGGTTTCGATGGTAACTTCTCACTTGGATCCGCTACAAGTGACGATGATCCATGATGATGTCCTCAAATCACAGCCGGTGAGGTGGCCGTTTGTTTGTACAAATTGTGCATATGGGGAGAAGATGGCGACGCGGTAATCAGACTCATCTCAGACTCTACGTTCGAAGAGGAGGGCAAGATCGTGAACGTACATTTAGCGAATGCATACTATAATGCATCCATCATGATGCATCCCGAGTTTGCACGAGGGCCGCTCAGGCTAGCTTTAATATTTAGGTGCTTTCTTAAAACTGTTATGCTTGCTGATATATATCGAGTGATGTTTGGATCATGTCGCATGCCAAGTATATGTATGGTGATCGTATAATCAGTGATGAAAGCCTGGTTACCCATGGTACGTCATGAGGGATGTAAAAGTCAGCCTGCCCGTGGAGCTTTAATTGGCACTGTAGCTGCCCGTGCTGGCCACATCCCATGTGAATCCGCCTTGGCCAAACCATGCGGCAGCTGAAGTCAGAAGGACCACAGGCCGCGGTGCACATTGGTCATACGGCCACGTCACCGATCGTTGTTGAGCGGCGCGCGAGCGCGCGCTGTTCCGAGTTGCAGGGCTACAACGTTGCTGGGGCCACTCAGCAGAGCTCTGTAGACCATTAGCATATTCAAATAGAAGCTCTGCGCTTTGCTGCTGCGCTCGGCTAGCTGTGATCCGGGTGCCAGCAGGGGCAGCTCTGGTGGCACCAGCAGGAGCAGGGGCCGGGTTTCTCACGTCACTCTTGATCTAGCATGCAGTCTAATTAGGTAGCTACGTTTTAAGCTCAAGTCAGGTGGCGGGCGCTGCAGAAGCCCCCATCTTTTGAAAGGGAGGACCACCAGTTTGACGCCACCCCGGCCCATGAATGATGCTGGCAGCTGGGCCCTTCAGCGGGCAGCGCGTGTTTGCACCATCCAGTGTAGAGTTATGGCATGCGACTGCACGAGGGTTTAACGTGCCAACACGGCATGGTCTGCTGTGTAATGCGCTGCAAGATCTGGACAATGCAGGCTTCCGTTTGCAGAGCAGATACCGGGGACTTCAAGCGGGTCCCTACCTGAAAGCTGATCTATGCTGTATTTCATTCACTGGCGTAAGGCAGCTAACCGATTGCCTGCATGGGTTCGGAGTGGAAGGACACGAGGAGCGCTTCTTGCATGCGAGGTCGAAGGATCGCCTGGCAGGTGTCGGTGGTGTGAGACGCCAGGGGCATGCTGCAGAAAGTTTCCATTCTAGTTGTCGTAGGCGCCGGGGGAGGATCACATGCGGTGCTAAGAAGGGCGCCAAGGGTGGTGGGGACGAGGGGCCCAAGAGCGACACTGATGGCCGGCAGGTGAGATACAAGCTACATTCTGAGTACACACTTCTGTGAAAATGCTCTCTTTTTTGATTTTTCCCAGCAACTTGACAGCTTTTGATTGGCGCTGTGCTTGGCTGTGTAAAACTCAGACCTGTGCGCGATGAGGTAAAAGCTGAATAGATGCATCCTTCTAGGCTCCTGGAGTGGTTTGAAAAGTGAAGGGCACAACAATGACCCCGTATATGCTTACACATCATCTGAGTGACAATAGTAAATTCCTTGCGTCATACAAACGGCCATAAAACCTGATTCAGCCTTGACAATGCATCCATTTCGTCGCCTTCCCTCCATTTTCCCAATATGAAGTCGCAGCTCATTTGGCCTTTGATTTCTTCCAAGTCTTGATGAGTACATCTCATCCTCTGTGGTTCCAGTTGCGGTACGTAAAACGAAACAATGAAAAAAGAACAGAAGCGAGGATGATCCCTTTGGACCCGTTGGAACCGTTTGCTCTCAATGTGTATTGCTTAGAGCAAACTTGTGTGATGACAACCCCCATTTTTTTCACCATCTCGCAAAAGCATATGCGGATTTCGTGAAGCAACCATGCCTTGTTTGCCCCTTTTCGTTATACGGTCCTCTTATCTGCCCCTAACAATCACGGTTTCCTTTTAACAGTCTACCCCGCCCAGGGTCTCCACCAACATCAATATTCCGGTGCGGTACCAGCTACGTTATGTCAAGGCGCTCAAGGTGACTTCTTCCTTGTTTTCCTTCTTGTTCCCCCCTTCTGCTTTGTTCCTGATGTGAAAACATTCGGACCACTCTCTTCCGTGCCCGCTATATTCCCTGCTTTCCTTTTCTTCCATTGTTTTTCTACCTTTTCAAAGATTTTTTTGGTACTTTTGTGGCTGGACACGGGTGCATCAAAGCGTATGAAACACAGGGGGCAAAAGTGATATTCTAGCAGAAGTGAGGAGAGAGGCACGTGCATAAAGAGAGAAGAGCTGGCTGGGTGTTATCTCGAAGGAGCCGGGTAGTTCTACTTCCTATTCATCATTCTTCGCATTAACTTGCTTACACTCCCTTGTCTACCCTCTTGGCGAGGGGCACCCAAAGATTGCCTCAGCCTCCCCAAACCGATCCGGTTTCTCGACTTGGGTTTACCCCACTCCAAACTCGCCTCTTTGAAAAGGTCCTGTCCCTCTACTAATTTGTGGGAGAGTCAATTATGTACGGGAGTTCCAGAAAAAGGTCACGGCCCTCTTTCCTGTTTTTACCTTTAAGCTCCAGTCTCTCTTGTTCTAGAAATCGTCTCCTCCCTGGCCCCCTTTGTTGTTCCCCTGTCAACGGTATCCCAATCTCTCTCGGTTTACAAACTATCCCCCCCCTCTACTTATCTTTTGTCTGCTCCGATTCTATCCACAAAAGTACCAAAAGAATGTCTCGGGCCCCCTTTCTTGTTTTCTCTATCTGTCTCCTCCTGCATTTGAATCGTCCTTCAATTGTCCTTGGCCCCTCTCCTCAATCTTTTGAATGCCCCGCTGTATGTCTACAGGAGTACCAGAAGAATGCCTCGGGCCCTCCGGTCCGCCAAGCCACGGGGTACCGGAGAAAGAAGGAGCGGCCGTCTGAAAGCAGCGGGGTCGCAAGCGGGGACGTCGTGGCACCGTCCACCAGTCTCATGGGGTGAGCTAAGGGTGCGCGTCGACCGGAAAGCTGCCAAAAGCTTTTCCAGATTTCTCAGCCAATTGAATTGCTTGTCGGATCCACGTGGAACCCAAGGTACATACCAGAGGTGTCTTTAAGTTGAAAGTACCGTACCTACTACCAGTCGGTACTGCATAAGGCAACACTGGAGGCCAAGTAGGTTTTCGGTCGAAGCGCAACCTAAGACCCGAGACTAAAGACTGTGCCTATCTTTGTTGTTTCTTTTTTGCAGCTCCCCATCCTTTCCGCTTCTTTCTTGCCCATTGCCCATTCTCTCCCGTCATCTTCCTCTTTGTGGGGACTGGATCGCAGAGATCTCCTGCAATCCCATAGAGCAGACGGAATTCCGAGTGCGCGCTTTCGACAGAGTGGTTATGAGTCGTGGGAAGAACGAATGCGGTACCCCAACGAATGAATCAAGTACCCATGAGCAACATGGGTCGCACTGCTGCCGGTCACCGCTGTTTGGTCGTTTGTCTAGAGTGTGGCTTCCTTTGCAACCGGCAATGCTTGCTTACTTTACTGGTACTGCCTTCAGAAAAAGAATTTTTACAACCAAATTCGATAGGTAGTTTTCATCCTGCCGTGTATCTTGCAGCCGATTCTGGGGATTCATCTTTAGGCTCTCTGGCGGATTGCTCGTACCAAGCATATCTTTGGCGGACTCCTAGATTCACTCATCAGAGACCCGATGTTTTGCGAAAGTTGAAAGCGAACAGAAGGAAGAAAAAAACCAGCGACAAGGGAATGCTTCCTTTTGCAGGCCCCGCGTGCTGAGGGATCAATTTCTGACGCCTCGTCGCTGCTGGTGGAATGTTTTCCCAGAGAGATACTGAAGTGGTGGAACAAAGTCAAGGAAAGAGAACGAGACCTTCGAAATAACACAAAGAATCTTCGAAGCAAAGCAAAACGCGGTCTGTGCGCAGGCAGGGCTTGTCGGAGGTGTGGAACCTGGAGCCACCCGTCTTGCTGGTGGACGAAGATTCAGAAAGGAGATAGAGACGGAAACACGACAAGATAACGAAAGACAGCGAAATGCTGACATCGGCGCAGGCAGGGCGTCTCAGAGACATGGACCCGTGTGTCTAGGGAGATAAGCGGCAGGAAGAGAGCTACAAGATAGGAACCGAATCAACGAAATACGCCAAGAAACTTGAACCAAAAAAGATTCTGCGTGCAGGCAGGGCGTCATGGAAGAGCTGAATCTGGAGCCCCCAGTGTTGTTGGTGGACGGGTACAACATGTGCGGCTACTGGCCCAAGCTGAAGAAGCACTTTTCTAAGGGGGACCTTGAGGCCGCGCGTGCCAAGCTCATCGTGGAGCTGCAAACATACGGCGCGTGCAAAGGTGAGATGCGGATCACGTTCCTCGAAGCAATCAGACTCTCTTCATTTGCGGAACGGAGAGAGGTCAAAGTCTGAAGCGAACAGCCTTGACGCTCACCTCAGGCGATCGCTTTGTCAAGTGTGCGAGGGGCCTACACGTGTTCGAAAGCATGCCGGTGCGAAGAAGCGTTGAAAGCGCATACTCTGTACGAACCTAAAGACGAAGTCCCTAGATTGTAAAACTTTAGGAGACAGTGCGCCGCATGCAAGAATGTCAGTGAAATATGGTGATCAGCCGTACACTGAAGATGGGGGCTTCCGACCATAATGAAAGGTTGAGGCATCCAAGTCGAAGTTGAGTGGAAACGCATGCCGTCCAAGGTGGTACAAGACTCTCGTGCCCTTTATACCGAGTCCCATTTTCCGCAACTTGAGTCTGGAGTGTCCATATCTTGGAGTCCTCTTTCGGACCAAGACTTGAAGAGGAAGGTTTATTGACGTGGCATCGTAAAAGGTACCTGGTACCTTCCGCGCTCCCTGGCTGGTACATACCGCAGCGCACTTTTTACGACCTTTTAGGAGGTATTTTCCACGTTGGACAAGCGAAGCCGTCAGATCAGAAAGTGAACCATACCATCCGACGGCGGATATTTTAGTCCTCCCTCAATGGAAACTTGCGAAAGTTGGGACGCGGTATGAATGGCACGAAACTCTTGAGTATGCACAAGGGAACACGTGTCGACGCAGCAAGACAAGCTGCCGCATTAAATGCGGTCCGCTCGTGCCTGCAGGCATCAAAGTGGTGGTCGTATTCGATGCTCAGAAGTCGGGGCTGCAATCTCACAGCGAGGGAGACAAGTAGTGAGTGCGCTACTCATCGTTCAAGACGGCTTTTTCGATCTATGTTGCATGCCCGCACGTATGGTTTGCGAAAATGGATCACCATTGGTTTCCTCCTTTCGAAAACCTCTTCTTTCCTGCTCGCCGTTCAGTTCTTGGCTTAGATCTTCTGCTTCCTTGGTCGCCTTCTCGTCTAATCTTACATAAAGCGCTGTCTTCTCTTGCATCGGATGAGCAGCCGTCTGCTTGCCAGTCTTTCGCTTTGTCATCAACGAGCAAAGTCCGGATCCCCGCTTACAGACACATGCCCTCAGTTCCCTACCTTTGGATTTGTCCGATATCTCTTCCTTACTCGCTGCACATTGTACTTTTCTTTTTCAGTTTGATGTTTGTCGCCATCGCTCCCCTTTCTGGTGTCGTAAGTAGTAACAATATTTGTATAAGACCTTATCTGTCAGAAATTGGATGCTGACGTGGCAGATCTTTGTCTTGCAGTCTGAAGGTCGTGTACTCGGCCGACGATACCGCCGACTCTTGGATCGAACGGGAGGTAGGTCTCACAAACCTCAAAAATGCCTTTTTCCGCAGGATCTCCAATCCAAGGCTTTAAAGATTCAAATGTTCAGCTTCAACAAGTGCGAAGTTTCAAAGTTCAACTTTTTTCTCTTAGCAAGCTAAGAGCCTGCACAAAACAGGGCGTTGGATCGCAAATGATCGATCACGCCTTCCCTTTGAACCTGCTCTTGGAATCTGAGTATGGATTTGAGCAACACTGCAAGCGGTTTAGTAAAGCGTTTATCATATATCACACCTTCTGGTGAAGATTGGGTGAGGGTCTTCAGAGCCTGATTTTTTGCGATGGGGGAAGCATCAACTAATCTGGCTCATGCGCAGGCCAAGAACCTGCACGACAAGGGCAACCACAACGTATGGGTGGTGACGTCAGACCTGGCTCAGCAAAGCATGGCGTACGGCGTCGGCGCAACCGTCTGGAGTTGCGGCCTGCTAATCCAGGAGGTGGGGCTTATTCCCACCTCGCCCTGACGTCACGAGCCGGTTGCATACGTCATCTTGAGTGTTGCTGGCCTCAGCTGACCGGGCGACTTGAACGGAGTTCCGCTCAGCACAGTGCATCGACAAGAACGGGTCAATATGTTCTTACCTTTTGTAATTGTTGCAATTAGGCGACCCTGTAGCACACGAGGTTCATCTTTGTCGATCGACGAGGCGTCTCCATAAGCGCTCCGAAGATCAAGTTACAATCCAGTACAGAAAGGTCAAGTGTGCTGCTCGATGGTAATGTGCTTGCTCGCTAATTCAAACGTGTCTGGTGCGCAGATCAACCAGGCTCGAAAGGAGATGCTGAAGCAGTTGGAAGAGGACAGGTGCGTGCTTCGCTGTTCTGAGAATGCTCAACGTGCGCAAAGCCCACCATCGAGGAATAGGAACAGATCTTCCCAAAAGCAACAGCTTCGTTGGTGTATTTTCTAGAACTCGAGCTCAGCTCCGGTGAAAGTCGCTTCGCAAATCCAAAAACAAGATCTATCAGAAGTTATATTCATAGTGTGTTCTCTGCGAATGTGGATTGTGAAACTCGTGCTTCCAAGTCCTCACGTCTACCTTTCAGCACAACACGACAGCCTCGCAAAGCATAGCCTCTCGGGCCACACTTGCAATCTTGTTACTGAATCTGGATAAGCGCAGGTGAATGTGTCAACATGCTGTCCTGCAAGCACTTTCTGCGCGTTTTGGAGGATGAGTGAAGTATGTTCTGATCGAACTTACTTGATCTGCGGTAAAAGTGTCAAAACGACCTCGTACAACTGTTTTTGCGCAGAATGATCGGCGAGCTCTCCTCCCGTACGCCCACCTTCGAGGAGTCCGTCTCGCGGGACAGTTTCGACAAGTTGGCCTTGCTCTACGAGCAGCTCAGCCGGGGGGCGCCCCCGGAGGACCCCTTCGGACGCGCTGACGTCAGCGGAGCGTCCGACGATGACGTCAGCAGAGAGTACGGCTCGGCCGAAGACGACATCGCGTGGCTGTCCGAATGGGCTCATTCAGACGGCGAGGACAGCGAGATCGAAGTTGAGGATTCGGAGAACGAGAGCGGGGAACATTTCCACCGGTCCCAGAATGGTCGTGGGTTTGGAAACGGTGTTTCATTTGACAATGGCGGCGCGCAGTCTTTGGAGCCATCTCCAGCGGAAGAGATTGTTGCGGACCGCTCGGCTAGTGGCGGGCTTGCGGAAACGAGCGGACGTCCGAACCCGGCGAGTGGTGTCGAAGGCGCGTCCGAAAGCGTGGAGAAGTCCGCCAACGGAAAGTTCCGTCCGTCGGAGGCGGAAGCGATTCCGGTGGCGTTCGGGAAGGGCCGGGTGAACTTGGGCGCTGCGGTGAAGCGGCGGCGGCGCTCCGGGGGGGAGGGGTACAGCAGCGGGAGCGACAGCGAGGGACCCCCCCGGAGAGCGGGAAACGGTCTTCGGAGCCCTGCGCAGGATCTGGAGATTTTCCAGCGGTTCGATACGTTGCCGGACTTTGGATACAGCACGGGGGACGAGGATCACCGGGGACGGATGCACCGACGGTGGCGGGACGTTGAGCGGGCGGTGGAGAACGGAAGCAACGGAACGAACGGAACGAACGGGAAGGTGACAGGCGGCGGGGTGAAGAGTGGAGGGTTGAAGGGAACAGGGGCTGGGAATGGACGGACTGAAGGGGTTTCAGGGCCTTTCATGAACGGGGCAGTGGGTTCAAAGGGAGGGCGAGGGAAGGGGCTGACAGCACTGGAGGACGTGCAGAACGGAAAAGCGACGAGAATGCAGATGGAAGAGGCATTGAGCAGTGGGAGAAGGTCAGAGAGTGCGGGAGTCACGTCGCTGAAAGGCGGAACTAGGGGGGCAGATCAGGTTGAGCAACATTTGGTTGCGGAAGATCGGTCAGCGGGCCGTTCCGAGGGGGTAGGATTAGGGGATGATGGGGAAAGCGACTCGAACGAAGGGCGCAGCGCGAGCGCAGGAGACTCACTGGTCATTCGCAGTACTACTAAGCGAGTGCCCGGGCAAAGTCCCCGGGTTGCCAAACCAAGGGTTAGGCCAGCGGTTAGCTCAAACGTGGACGAAAAGGCGCAGGGTCTCGATCAGCCAGGCAACGGACGGGGTGAGAGTTCGAGTCGTTTACGGGAAGCAGCGAACGGTTGGGATCTGTTAGCGGATCCCGAAACCATGCGATCCCCGTCGCTTGAAAACAACGGCGCGGGAAATGGTAAGCAGCCCGTAACGAAGCGAGTTGGTAAAGGTAAACCAGGTAGGTTAGCGCCGCCGCAGCGGTCCGCGTCTAGAGACAATGTCGAGTTTGAGGGAAATCTGTACAGAGACTTAGAGAGCATTCCGTTCGATGAGTTGACGACCGATCAAATGATGGCCCTGAAGTACGGTCATAGTTCGAGGCCAGGCAGCGAGGAGGTAAAGCGCACGCGCAAGAGGAGGTAACGCGTTCTAGGTCGAGGTTTGATGTTGGAAGGAATAGTTGAAAGCTAACTGAGTCGCAAACAAATGGACTGATTTTGAAAAGAAGGCCCTGGTCGTGCCACCTGGTTCGCTCGGCAAGTCAGGCCGCCCCAGCTGACCCAGGGGCACCATTCTTCCAGCTCTCAACATCCGATCGTTGGTTGTCTGGGACATGTCACTTGCTAATGTTCAATTTTGATGATTGATATGATCGGACATGTGCATGCATGGCGTCCTGGCGGCAGCAGACACTTGGTATACTGTACATATACGAATGTCGATCTCCTGGCTTAATATGTACAAACCAAAGCGGCTCGTCGTCGTATATTTCTCAAAAAGTTCCATGATCATAGTTACTTGAAATCCTTAATTTAATTGCAGAAAATATCATCGCCGGCCGGCACTGAGAATGATTACTGAGACTGTACAAAGGTGCCAGCACCGCCGTGGCTATACATGACTGCATGCAATTAACGAAACTGCCAACACCGCGCAAGCTGGCAACCAAAAATCAAATTCTGCGTACCGTGATAGTCCAGCCTGAGCTATGATAATGCCGTGTGACGGCGGACTCGAGCATGTCAGAAACATTATTTTCGAGCACTCAGTGCTTCAGACCGATGTATCCAAATGATCCGTTGGCACCAGCTCTAGCTACACAAGAGCATGTAACAATAGCTGGCCGCCCATATGCGCCCCATGGCGCGCCGCGCCATGGGGCGGCGCGGCGCGGGTGTTGATGCATCATGCCGCCCACTGATCCTCTCAATTCAACGAAGCTGGAAACTTTGGAAGAATTCGGAACGCGGTTTGTTCTGGCCGCCGTGTGCCGAATTTCAGTTGTCCATCATGTTTCTTGGCATGATTGAAGTGAGCAAGGATAGCACCATAGCACGGCATGCGATGTGACATGTAGCTTTCATGAAGATGATTCGAGCATGCTGCCATTGACTCCTGACAATCTCCTGCTGGGGGCTACGAGAGCTGCGTGCACTAGGATTCAAGGGGCTATATTACAAGATAGATTAGGCTACGTTGCTGGCTCCATTAGATGGGGTCCAAATTCTTCAAGGGTTCTGATAGCCAGTTTTTGCATGTCTTTGAATCCATTCACAGCTGTTCGTAGCAGCCTGTCATCCGAGGCAGCGAAAGATCTGCAGGTATTACAAAACGGAGACTCACTTCGTACAGTGCTGATGTAAACACCGACCGTTTGATTTCCCGCTCTTTCAATCAAAATCTAAATGCGCCAAGAAGGTGCAACAACGGGGACAAACGCTTCAGATTCAGGCGCACCCAACCACCTCCCTACTCATCAAGAATCAAGAAAGAGAAGAAGGATGATAGCACACGAACTGATGCCTGACATTAGGGCAGACGGGCTGATGAGAAATGTCCGTTGTAATTCCAAGATCTGCGCGTCCGTCAGCTTTGACATTCGCGGAAAGCTCCGGACGCTTCTTTGAAAGCAGTTCGATATCGAAGCCCGAAGTAGAACTGAGGTCAAAAGACTGAGCCAGAAAGCGTGGAGTCAAGGGGTCAGAAAGGGAGAAGGCTCACACTAGGAGTTGTTTGCCAGCCACACGGATCTCTCGGAAAACTTTCGTGGGGTTCAGCTGCATCCAAAGTGAGATGGTAACTTTAAGATAGCTTTTTGAAAAGCCTCGCCAAGAAGTTACTCAATACAAGTATCTTCAACTACAATCTTCTGACCTCAACTGAAACACTGTACATTCCAAGCCTCAGAAAACCTTTTGATACGTTCCCAAGAGACTGGTTGGGGCATTCCGCAGGCAAATGGCTGCTGAAGTCGTCACTTTCTGGAAAGACCAGTTGTGCCTGCTGCAGACTCTTGATATAGATGAAGGGTGTACACAAAAGGTGTAAGCTTTGCCAGGCCCTTCTGCAGCTTCTGCTGCAACAGACCCCGTGCCTCCCACATAAAGTCGGAAACATCCCTCCCTTCAGCTAAAGCACCCATCCGAATCAGATTGGTCTCCAAAATTGTCATACTTTCTGTCATGCTTTCAGAGAAAGTAAACATTTAGTATGATTTTGAGAAGGAGCTGTCCGAACTCTCGGTCTCCTACACGCTTAGAATCTTCATGGCGCTTTGGCCCGCTGATAGAGATGGTGCTCAGCCCCATCACATTGAATAACAATCTCTGAATTGATATGTATTCTGTGGGTATCAGGTAGCAGGTGTGTACTCTGTTCACTGCTTTCTTCTTGAGGTCTAATGATCCTTGATATCAAGAAGAACTGACTCTTGAGACTACTGATTGCAGCACGATGAAAGGGTGGTGCAGTTGGTGCAATGCACTAAAGTTCCAGCCTGATGGTGAAGTGATGGTATCAGCACAAGACACTCCTTAATGCATCAAATTTTAGCTAATCAGGTGCCGAGGCAGATTGCTTTGATGCTTTTGCAGGAGGTTGTTGTCAATGCAGGTAACTCAGATTGTTGACTGGACAGAATGTGTGAGAGGCATTGGCGTCAGAAGCAGACTCACCTCTGCGTCTACAGACAAGGTTTTGCACACTATGACAGCCGCTTCCTCCGTTGGAAAGTCTACATGCCATGAACTGTTGAGCCAGGGGGAGATAACTCTCAGGTTCGGCATCTCTTTGAAGGCATCCTTCATGACATCACGTAAACATGGTGCACAGGACATGAGTCAAAACTACAAGTTTTTCATAAGCACAAAGCGGGATATAACTGGCAGCATTGTACCCCAGGGTAAAGTAGAGCCACGGATGCTAAACTGGGGCTACAAAACAGTGAATCCCCCACAGTGTAAGGATCCCTTCAAGTCTGATGGATATCAACATGCCAATAGGGTCTTCAGCACCTCGTAAGACACCTCCGTCTGGCAATTTCGGAATTTGAGAATTAGGGTTCTGAACAGGTAGGGTGGTAATGGTCAGGAAATGCAGCTCAGACTTACCAAGTGAACTGTCTCTGGCCATCAGCAACAGGTTCCTTTCCCGGCCCTGCTTCCAAGCCCCCCGCTCGTGACGCTTCTCTGCCACTTACACCTGGAGGCTCCTCCAGTCTCTGCTTTGTTCGAGGGGGCTCCAGCGTTGTGGCCATTCTGCACTGCTAATAGCAACCCGGAGACTGTATAGAGGGAGCAGATTGTGCTCTTCACAGAGAACCTTGTGCTCACCCACTGCCTCTCACAGCTGTTCAACTCGGTACCTATGATTCTGAAACTCCTTGTTTTGTTGGCACCAATGCAGAATCTTCCATCGCCTTTCAACTTCCTATTATAATCTTGAGGGTTAAAAGGCAGGGTTACCACTTTCACCGTCGGTGATGATATCCGGCTGATTGGACAATGTTCTACCCATGGTTTGGAGGTCGGGCCAAAGAACCGGCCTACCGTATTTGCCTTTTTTCATCATGGACACTTGTTCGGTACAAACACCAGTGAAACCCTTGAGATTGAACCATTCAAGTCAGAGTGGCATGGAGCAGCTTGAGCACTCCTTCCTGAAACTTGAAAGGGCGTCACGTTGAAGAAGTCATTGTCGGCACCAGTTTCAGGGCGGCTACGGTATGGCCCCTGAAGAATTTGCCTCTTTTCAGCTCCATTCGCTGGGCAGCAACAGCTAGTGGGACTCCTCACAGGTATTTGCAGACTGAAGATCCGATATTGGCTTGGTCTCTTCCGCCCGGTTCCCGCTCTATCAGACAAGGTCAAAATTTTCCTACTTCTTAGTCAAGGATGGCGGCTGTTGTTGAGGACGTGCCGCGATCATCCGAGAGCGATCAACATCTTCTCCAGGAGTCGACAAGTCTGTCCGGAGCAGTGGTCGCAGATCCACTGAGCGGCGCCAACGTGAGCACTCTTAGGAATCATGTAGGAGGAGCCTATGACGATGTGACACCTGTTGGCTCCCCGGAGGTGGTAGCTCCAGAAACAGTCAGCTCAGGAGAAAGGCTGAAGGAGCCGCCAGTTTCAGCGGACGGTCTGCCAAAGAAGCTGCTGATCTTAGACGTGAACGGCTTCCTTATTGACACCATGTTCAAGTTTGACAAGGGCAAGCCGACCCTGCGGGAGCATGACGGCACTGTCAACAACTTTCTGAGTGAGTGGCGAGATGGCATTCACCTCTCCTTTTCGTTGCCCCTTTCTGCTGAAGCTATATGTGGCTGGTAAATGCTCGTGATGATTAAACGCAAGCTAGGTAAGTGGTTGCAACTTTCGTATCTGCTTTGTAGATTGTGACGGGGTTTGAAGGCTAGACAAGTAGTATGCAAAGGCATCAAATTAGCAGCCTTTTTGTTGTCTTCTTACCGCAAAGGTGCTGAAGGTGTTGAAAGTCCTTGTGCCATCCGTAGTCTTGTTAGCTTGATGTAGCAGTCCTTATCTTTTACCTCACCTTGGAACCATAGCGGTTAGAATTTGCGATGCTTTTGAGATGATAATGTGTCCTCGAGCTATTTTCTGTGTTAGGATAAAGGACGCCTGAATGGCAAACCACCTCGTCAAGACTTTTTATGCTCGGATTCTGGTGTATATTACTGCCGTGCATAAGCCGCCACCTCTAACTCGACCTGCTCAGACTTGTCCTCACTCACGTACAGTTTACAACCGGCCGCACTGCGAGGACTTCATCAAGTTCTGCCTGGATAACTTTGTGGTGGGGGTGTGGTCATCTGCGCGAAGGTAAGACGCCAACCTTCGGTGATTGCTGGCGAACAGTCCACGTTGCGCGGAAGAACGAATGGAAGGAGAACAGTGGACTCCCGGCGGACTCCCTAGTGACCCCCTTCCATTTTAGCCCCTTCCATTGATGGTCACAATTGGTGAATCCAATCAATCCAGACCATTGATCGTAGTGGGTACTAGCTAGGAGGGGTCTCTCTCGTCTGCTTGGGATTCCGCGTTCTCACTCGTTCCCTTCTGTCACTTATGCTGTCACTTTTTGGAAGGTCTCCTTAGCACCAGGTTTGTACCCATGAGATCAAGTTTCTCCTGATATCTGGTTTTGTAGTTTTGATTGTCCTGTAGTAGAGTCAGTTCCAAGCACTGGTTGAAGCATAAGTAGTCATGGAGCTTTATTGGTGCTCGGTGAATGGGTCCCTTGTTTTGTGAGCCCCGGTTGATGTAATCGTATCCGTCAGCGTGAGTAGAGGCATGGTGTGCTTTTGAATGTCAAGGGGGCTGTAATTTACTGCCTGTCAATCATGAGCGATGCTCAGTGTCATCCAAATTTGTGAGTCATAAGTATCTTGTGTTCACTGTCGTTCTTTAGGACGGGGTTCAGGTCTTCTACTCTTCTAGAAGAGTGGCAAGAACAACTTTTCTATCGTTACTCTGTCCTGATGCATAGCTGCTTGCCAGTGTTTTAGAAGGCAAATTGAACAAGGGACTAAATAGAAGGAACGTGGAGAACAGTCACTTATGCAACGCACTTGCCTATTCATGCAGACACAATGTGGAAGGTCTAACTCGATACATATTTGGGGAGGCGGTCAGTCAGCTGGCCTTCATTTGGGTAAGGCTTCGTCTTACTTCAGCGTTTTCCACATCAGCCAGCATTTGTTTCACTTGGACGCTATTGTACTACGAACTTACGTGTCAAAACCTATATTGGGTTTAAGTCAGGTTCCGACCTTTTGAGTGGAATTGAAGTCTTTGAATATTGGTACAAGCATGCACAGCCTGTCTTGTGTCTCCGTGTTGACTCTCGTCCACCAACATTATCCGACTTCTTCGTGACCGACCCGCATGTTTTGCTCAATTTAATTGCCTTTCGAAGCAATGGCTATGATAACACTTCTCCGCTCTGCGAGTTCAATGATGTTCCATCCCACCGTCGTCGTTACTGCACGTTGCATCCCTGAGTACTGGGCTTCGTCCGTTGTCTCCCCCCTAAGAATTTTAACTTCAGAATCGTTGTTACCACCCGGGTTTTGGTACGTTCGCTCAGTCTTAGAACCCACTGAAACCAGAGTGGCGGAATCAAAGTCTAAATCAGAAATGGCACCGACCTTCCAGGGCCAGGACCAGTGCACCAACACCGGCTTCATGCACCCCGAGAACCGCAACAAGCCCATTTTCCTCAAGGAGCTCCGCAGGGTGTGGGAGTCCCCCCCTTTCAGTGGCGTCTACGGCCCCAGCAATACGCTCCTGATCGACGACTCCGCCTATAAGGCCCTGCGGAATCCGCCGTACACGGGAGTCTTTCCGAAGACGTATGTCGCTGACGGGCGCGAACAAGACTGCCTCGGTAGGGTCTCAGCCACCGGACTAAGGAGATCAGAATTTGAGAAGGTTCTGCCTTCCCTCGGGCTTAAGAAGCCCTTACAGTGAGATGATGAGCGCTGTTGTTGGTCCTGCAATGCTTGATCTGGCAGATGATCTTCGAAGCCTTGTCAAGTCTCGTACTTAGTATGGCTGCTCCTTTCCAGCCGTTGCTTACGTCTTGCTTGTGCCACACCTAGAGTACTGCTTATCTGTTTTCATGACGATTGCTGCAAGCGAATGGATCAGATGTTTCTTTCGTTCCAATCCCAAAACGGCACACGCGAAACAATTAAAGTTGTATCAAGCAACGCAGTCAGAATGAGTTTCACGGCGGCTCAAACTCGGTGCTCGCTGAGGCGTCCTGATGAACGCTGCCATTACATCCCTTCTCTTGCCTTCCCTGTTTGATTGTGATCCTGGTTAGCTTTTGCATCGCTGATGGCTGCTGACGTCATTTTCTTTCCCTCCCTTGACGTCACGTCGTCTGCTTACAGCTCCCGGGGGCCGCATCTGCTCATTTTTACAGGGCATTCGGCGTCCCGTTCGTAGGTCCGACAAGGAATCGGCCCGGCCCACTCTTCTTCTACCAACCACGCTTTTTCTGCTGACCACTCTGTTTCTGTCAAATATTAAGAGCGATTTTGCGGTTATCCTCCACAAATGCTGACGTTACCTTTTTTACTCCTCGCAGCCCCTGGCGGTCGCATCCGTTCGTTTTTGGAGGGTGTCCACGTGGCCGCGGACGTCCGTGAGTACGTCAAAGCGCACCCGTTCGGTCAACCCGGGATCAGCGTCGGCCCCGACTGTTCGGTCGAGATAACCGGGGAGGTTAGCGCCCGGGTTAGGGAGGAGACCCAGGCGAGTTTTGAGCAGTTTATCCGGAAGCAGAGAGAGCAGCAAAGTACCCGAGGGAGCGCACCGAGTCAGGAGTCTGCTGAGGGGTTAGCAGTGGGGTTAGCGGACGGCTTAGCGAGGGGGCAAGCAGACGGGTTCGCAAATAGGTTAGCAGAGAAAGCGGCCCAGCAAGTGAAAGCGGGAAGTTCAAGTCGGTTCGAAGATACTTACCGGATAGAAGAAAGTCGAAAAGCTGAGTGGCAGAGAGCAAACGGGGGTCAGGGTCTGTGGCGGGATCCGCCCCGTCACGCAACGGGTGAAGACATGGACTTCGGAAACCAGAACGGTGCCAGGTGGCAAGGCGTGGAAAGCGGCGGGGTGGGGGCAAGGAGTCGCTTCTCGAGGCAGTTCGAGACGAATGGTTTTGAGAGGAATGGTTTTCGGGGACAAAACGAAGGCCGGTGGCCGGAAGCAAGGCCAAGCTACGAGGCAATGAAAGGACCAATAGACGCGGGCTGGTCGGATGGTGAAGGAGCGACCGGTGGAGTCTACCGGGAGAGGACGCGGTCGCCGGTTGGTGTGAGGAGAGCTCCGGAAACCGAACGCCGGCCAATGCGGAACGGGTACCCGAGGGAGTCTGGTTGGAATGCTGAGGCGGGCTGGGGTGGAAACGGTTGGGAAAGACCGCGCTGGGATACGTTTGGACTCCGGGAAGAGGGGTGGGACTCGGAAAAGCTCCCGGTTGACGCACGCGTGACGGGAAGCGCGCCGGCACAGATTGAAAACGGGTGGGGGCAATCGGGCTGGGAAAGTAAGGCCTCGTTTGGGTACGAGCGCGCAGGATTGCAAGAATGGACGGGGTTTTCACACTGGGCTGGCCCGGCTCCTCGGCCTGGTGTGCATCGGCAACCGGAGGAAGCACAGAGGGAGAGGACGTGGCAAGCCAACGGGACGGGCCGGCCGCCCGGCGCAAGTTTCTGGGAGCCCTCTACTAGTTACAACCGGTCCTGGGAGCCTTCTACCAGTTACAATGGGCCACCTCCTCCGGGAAACGGATTTGTTCCATCGAACGGGTTCACCAGGAATGACTGGGGCGCAGCCCCAGGCTTTGATGGTCGTCGACCTCAAGATGGGGGGCTGTTGCCTTTTGAGTGGCAGTCTCATGGACAGTTTCCGGTTGATGGTCCATTTTCAAATGGCGTGGTGCCGCTGCCCCCGTTTCGTGATTACAGGCAAGTAACTGATCCAGGTTTGAATGGTCGGGGAGCTCGAGTCCAACACACATACGTCAGCCAAGAGTACAAGCAATAATGCTGTGGTTGACCAAGTGCTGTTTACGGCCTTGCCTGCAAAACTAGGACTTGGTGGCATGTTGTTTGCTGAAAGTGAAGTCTCAATCAACTCGCGACAACTCTTCTTGGAAAAGGGGCGGAAAAGTTCAGCACCGTACTTAATACATGCACTCGACGGGCCGCGTACTTTATACATGCACTCGACGGGCCGGCAAGCCTTGAAAGCAATGGGTGCACTCTTCAGTTCATTGGGGAGGCTTCCGTGCACTTAGCGTGCAACATCTATTGCTGCATAGGAGAATATATGTTGAGGATCTTTCAAGTTTTCTGCACTTCAGTAGCAGCTAGACTCACCCGTATGATCCTGTGTTGCCGCCAAGTTTCTGCACGTGTACGTCATCGACAGGATGCAAGTGCTTGGGATGGATTCACTGGGCGTGACGTCCACGGTCACCTATCGCTTGATATGACTGGTGCTCTCAGCGAACCCCTGGGTGGCACCCTATAAAAGTAGTGCACACGGAGACGTGGGGCCGGGAGGTAGGTCAATCAGGCCCCAGTTGGACGCTTTCATGACATTATCAGCCTAGGACGCGTTTCAAGCTATATAAAGGAGGAGTCGGCGTACAAAAACGTATGTACCCATGAACCCTGTTCACAAGGAGCTCCGGGCAATGTACATGTGAATGAAGTGCTCGTTCGCTTGCAATTATTCTCGTATGGCCTACGCCCGTAACGTGATTGGTTCGAGGATTGGCTTTATTTTGATGCACCATGCACGCCGGCGATCGCTGGACCGGTCACTTGCTACTAGCGCCTCGAAGTTCAAGCGTTTGAAGTTAAGCGCAAATGTTTGCTTGGATTGAAGCCGGCCTGCCAGGTGAGCTGATGGTTCTTTTCGCACATTACAAGCATGCCGTAACCAAATCGGAATTGCATATTGAGCACATGCTTCTCTTGCATCCGATAGCATACGTACATAAGTTAAACATGTGTAAATGTCTTGCATAAGGCTTGAAGGCTACCGTATGATAGCTAGCTGCGCGCACCTTGACGCTTCTCTGCAGCTCTGAACTACTAGCTACAGTGATTGAATGCGGACGTGTGACGGTTGGA